GGCTTCACAACCAAATGTGAGGCAAGAAAAAAGTGAATGAGGGAAGGACCAGGGGCTGATTCAAGTAATGAAGGTAGCTCTAGTACACTGAAGGATGTTGTGGTTTGTTTTATTGTTTGGCTGGTTGCTTTTCATTCTTGCTTGAGTTAAACACAAAGAAAACGGTCTAAAATACTGTTTTGTTTAGAATGCTTATTTCAAATACTGTATTGTCTTTCCATGCTAAAAATGGATCTGCAGGTACCTCACAAACCTAATGTGGCAAGTCTGAAGTTGAGATACAGTGCAAGAAGAATAACCAGTGTGACCCCTCGTTTTCTACCTTTTTAATTAAAATGTTTGTCAGAATAAATGCAGAATACCATTTGTGGTTTAGGTCATATTTTCATTATTAACAAAAGCAATTCATATATAGAACACAGGGGTTTCCCCTGTAGTGTATGGTATATCCCTGCTTGTGGTAATTCAGGGTTTTTCCTCTCGTGCCTGTTCAGTTAGGCATGTAGTCTAACACTTCTCCTAGATGACTATACAGTAATTTCTTCCTTTCTGTCCAATCCTGACAGGTTTTTGTAGGATTGCCTGGTGAGGTGAAATGTGATTTTAAGCAGGGATGTGGTTTAGAAACTCCCATGTTGTCATTCTCTCAATTAGATTGCCTTCCCTGTTACCTGGGGAAGTTGTTGAGCCCTTCTTCAATTTTCCTCATGAATAAATGAAAATGAAATTTCACCACTACGTTTTGTGAGAACTTTATGCCTCCTTCTGAATAATCCAGTCCTAGTTCAGATCTCATAGGAACAAAGAAGTACTTTGCATTAGCATTTTGCTTCATTCTGATGTATAACCTTATAACTACCATAGAAATATATCTTAATTTTGACTCTGATTCTCTCCCCCCTCTTCCCCCCCCCCCTGGAATTGGTGATAAAATAACGCACTTGGGCTTTAATGGTAGTAGTAAGTAGTTTTATGAAAAAAATCTACTGCTACAGATGAAGTTTCCTTTTGTTCCTAAGGAAATCTTAGTACTTCATTACCTTTACCCCCTGGTTTGCAAACCACGTCTAGAATGTGGTTGATTGTCCTGTTTGTACCTTACAGCTTGCAGTGAAGGTAGAGAAAAGAAGGTGGTGTTTTTTAGCCTGCCTACCAAACCTCTTCCACAGCAACACTGTCTTGAGTGTGAGATTGTTGTTTGTCTACTGGGAATGCTTGCTTGATTTTACATGTATGGAGAATAACACTGTGCTGGGAGTGCTGTAAGTTTCTCTCATGCTGAGTTTGCCCATAAATGTGCCTTTTCAACCATATGTATGTATTTATCTTCAGCTCCTTGGCAGGCTTTCTCAGACTGACATAGCAGTAGCTCGTACAGATGCTATTGGCTAGAAAGGCATTACAGCCACCTTCCCAGCCTAGGTCTTCTGTTAATTACATTACTTTTAGTGTGCTTTCTATTACAATGATTTTCCTTAACGCTGACTTTTTTTTCCCATGTAAATTCTTATCAGTGGCTTCTGTGTTACTTGTGTGCTGATAAGTAGTTCACTAGCTCACTAATAGCTATTGAATTTACTCTGTTTTTCTTGATTTGTTGTGTGGGAGATTCTGTGTAGTTGTAGATTAGGAAAAGGGGAGAAAAAAAAACAACAATCCACGAGTCAGACCCTAGTCCTAGCAAGGAAACTTGTAAATCTTCCTTGCAAGTAGGTGGCTGGGTTGTCTTTGGTTCTGTTTTTTTTACTTCAAATCCTGTGATTTACTGAGAGTTGGAACTAGGGAGTGTGTAATTGACTGCTAGCATCTATTGTACATGTGGGTACTGCCTAGGAAAGAAGGGGAAAATCCCTTTGTTAAATTTGTCTTTGAGACTTAATTTTTCAGTTACTGCTTGAACAATAACATAGTCTGAAATCTGTGAAAGTCTTTATGTTCAGATTCCACATTCAGAGAAACTGGAAGAATGTTTTATGAGCTATGTTATGTTTTACAATTTTTCTCAGAGAGCAGTTTTATTACTGTGCCTCCAAATACCTTAGTGTGTGACCAAACAAAAATGATAGAAGATTCTATTTAAATGCCTAAGAGAAAAACCAAGAGTGAAACCAAATTCTGGGGGAGACAAATTTCCAGTGTTAAACAGGAAGCTTAAATACTCAACACAGATGTTAGCAAAAGCATCTTTAATATTATTAAATGTGTAGACGTGTTAAATTTTGCGCTCGCCTCTATCCAGAGATTATTCTTTTACTTGTGGGGAGCTTAAAATAACAGGCTGTCTAATTTAATATTAAAACTGGAAACTGCAAAAGTGAAAAGAGGTAATTTTTTCTGTGAGGTAACCAATGGATGATGGTGAGGGGAAAAAACCAACTGGCGCACTAATACTGTAGCACTGTGCCTGAAAAAAACTTTTTTAAAGGAAGTGTGTTTATTGTCACATAGTTCAACATTAATATTATATGATCTGTTTATGTTATTCAGGTAGATTTCATAGCTTCTTGATATAATAACTTGATACAATATTCTTGAGATAATAACTAAGATTTGAACAGCAGTGTTGATTATAAATCATAGTGCATTTTACAAAGAAGATTAGGTGGTGCTTTTTTCCTGTAGAATTTGAAAGACATAGGTGAAAAGAGCTTCTGAAATGCCAGCAGCAAAATCCGTAATATGCCAGTAGTCTCTGAGGTTGAACATGTTACCATACTGGTCCTGCTGTTTTACCATTTGTATGGAAGCAAGCGTGTTTCTACAAATAGGAAGTTGGGCTTGTCCAGCCTGGAGAAAAGAAGGCTGCGGGGTGACCTCACTGCAGCCTTTCAATACCTAAAGGGAGCCTACCAACAGGAGGGGAATCAACTCTTTACAAGGGTAGATAACTGCAGGATAAGGGGAAATGGTTTTAAGTTGAGGGAGGGGAGATTTAGGTTGGATGTCAGGGGAAAGTTCTTTACAGAGACAGTGGTGAGGTGCTGGAACAGGCTGCCCAGAGAGGTTGTGGATGCCCCGTCCGTGGAGGTGTTCAAGGCCAGTTTGGATGGGGCCCTGGGCAGCCTGGTCCAGTATTAAATGGGGAGGTTGGTGGCCCTGCATGTGGCAGGGGGCTGGAGCTTTCATGATCCTTGAGGTCCCTTCCAACCCTGGCCATTCTGTGATTCTGTGAAGTTTTTTAAATTCCCTGTTACACAGGGAAATTCCAGTTTTAAACTGGAGTTTAAACTAAGTTTTAAACTGAAGGAAAAGACCAATTAATTTTCATATTAAGTAAGCAACATTGAAACAGCATAGCAGCAGACTATGGGAGTGCAAAAGGATTGGTCACTCTTCCTCAACTCTTTGCTAACACACCTCATTACCCGTCCCAGTCTGCTCTCCTCCACAGCTAGAGCTAGCTCTTGTTATCTTCTCCAACTCCATTAAGTTGGAGTTTGGGAACTTGGAATGGGAAGATTTGGTAATGTAAGTTTCATAGCAATATTTGGGTTTTGTTGCCTCTTGTGCCATTGAATTACTGCTTAACCTAGTGCAGCTAACTTAAACTGCAGGTGTCTTTAATTATACATGAAATAATGATAGCAATTCTTTTCAGTATGTTGGTGCTATGAGGAAATCCTAAGTATGTTTCAGTGAACAGTGCTTCTACTTAATTATAACTGAATTATTACCCAATATTTCTGTTATATGACACTGATTTTGGCTGCCTAGGACTTTGCTGCTTGTACATTGTTTGGCTTGAAAAGCTGAAGTTCATCTATTATAAAATCTTTGTTGCTGTTGTATGAAGTGTATCTAATTTCTTGGTCCTGCTGGACAACTGTTTGGTTTGTCTGTGGTGACATACAGTTGATAGGGCAAACAAGAGTGGATCTGCCACTTCCAAAAATAAGGACAGAGAAAAATATTGTATTATTTCAAAGTTGTGTTCATTTTTCCTTACAACTATTTGAATGAATCATCAGAAAAACTTTTAGGAAGAAACCCTAGAAAAAAATGACATATTTTGTTTTGATATTTTTAGCAATACAATAAAAAAAAAAAAGTTGAATGCTTTATATTTAAGTTTATAGTATTTAAAACAGTGTTTTTAAGTAGCCTATAAGACAAAAACCTTTTAAGCTCCTAAATATTGTAACTTCTTTTTTGTTGTCCTTTTCAGTAGCTCTATCTCCAGAAATGGTTTAGCACCAAGAAAAAGTTATATTCTGCTTTTTTGGAGTCCATTGAGTTGAAAAGCAAGATACTCAAATGTTACTTGTAGCGTTCCTTGAGCTTAATGGAGCTGGAGAAGAGAACATGAGCTAGCTCTAGGTGTGGAGGAGAGCATACTGGGACAGGTGATGGGGTGTTAGCAAAGGGTTGAGGAAGAGTGACCAATGCTTTTGCATACACACAAGCAGTGGCTGACACTAAAAACAGTTTGCTCCTTTTGACACAATATATACATGCAAAGACCCCAGCATTCATTTTAAGTCTACGTGCATCTGGACATTCTCTGTGCATTATTAGAAGCAGATGGAAAAGCTCAAGCTTGCTTAGAGCATGATCAAGCTCTCTAGATTTAGGAGAGCATCAGTCGCACCATGCAGTGTGCTGAAGAGCATTTCTCTTGCTGCTGTAGCCAAAAGGGATGTGTGGGGCCTCTCATACCGCAGTGCTTTTGAGAATCCTGAATTCTAAGTAGAAGTGAAAGGACTTTCACTTGTATTCAGAAACTAGTCTTATATTTTTTCCATCCAGAAAATGATTGTAAGTTTGTGAAAACAACAAATGAAATGAGTAGGCTTTGACTCAGTGTTTTATAATATTTTATAAGTACAGGTACATTAGTCATATTCTCTGAAGGATTTCTTGTAAAGGATTTGTGCTCTTTGTAAGTTTTTCCTGTGATTAATTTTTTAAATAAAAGTTTGGGGTGTTTTTTTCATTAAGGGAATGGGTACTTTGGAAATTGATAATTATGGAAACTGAAATGATCGCCTCCTGATTTTCAGGGACGTGAGCTGGTAAGAGCACCTTGCAGAAGCTTCTGCAGAGGAAGCCATTTCGGCCGAGGCTTCGCTCTGGTGTGGAGCTCAGCAAACCGAAGGAGTTTCGTGTGGTACCTGTTCTGGGGCACCACCTGCTGGTGCTTCCTCATCTGTCTGCTGAATATGGGTATGTGTTTTATGCAGAATTTTAATCTCTGTGATCCCTTAGTGGCGTGAAGCACCTGCAGTTCTCATTCAGCTCAGTTCCTTGTGCTTTCAGTAACAGAGGTTTAGCATGCTCCTGATCTTTTATAATCCTTTTCCACTGGTGACGGTGCTCATAAGAAGAATGCCGTTTAGCAAATGGCACTAACTATATAATGAGTAAAATACTGCCAGCTTCATGAAGTTATACAATATTATTTTTCCTGTTTATTTAATGTCACTGTCCTAGCTCTTTGAGATCACAGAATCACAGGATTTTAGGGGTTGGAAGGGACCACCAGAGATCACTGATTCCAATGCCCATGCTTTCTAATTAGATGCTCTCTAATTATTCAGTATTGCCTGTTGGATGGGCAGTAAAAGAGCATGCCCATGACAAGTGATATATGGCACATTTACATAAATTGTTTAATCACACATCTCTAGGACTAATAGGGGTTGAAGCACATTTATGCTGCACATATGTGAGCTGTGTGGCGTTTCGTAGCTCATGTATGTCTGGATCATTTTTCATACAATATTGAAACAGAACAACAGAAAGGACCACAATTTTAATCATATATTATGATTAAAATAATGAAATACATGTATTTGGAGCTTCATATTTGTCCAAAGTTCAAAGGAGTTTAAGATGCATTTCAAAGCATAAGTAATCACTCTTTAACTCAAAAACAGGGCATGAGATATCCAGTGTCATGTGGCTGCTGATAACTAACTTGATGCAGAGCAGTTTCACTTAAGTGAGTTAGCTGTGTTGGTGCTCCATCTTGGTGGAAAATAAGGACATATGTGGAGGCTGGGAAAACACCTTGGGTGCTTTTGATTGTGAAATGGGTTATTGATTGATTGATACTCATATGGAAACTTCTGTAGAGGGAGAAGTTTTAATGAGATTATTATCCATTTTGGTTCTCCTATTGACTTTTCAGCCTACAGTTTCCTTTATTCCATAATGGGATTTACTGTTTCTGCAGTATACCTCTGCTGTTCTTCATCTGACTTTTGTAATTATGCCGCCCACTGGATTTTGCTTAAAGGGTAAATAAGGTGCATGCATCAGACTGGGAAATTTGCCAGGGCATTGTCTCAACCCTGAGAGAAAGCTTATGAGAATTAGGTAGAACAAGCTGAAAAATATTTTTCCATCTTACAAAAATGTTATTTTTTCAGTTTTGACCTTTTTTCCCTATGTCACACTGAAATGAAGTTGCAAACTTTCAACAGTTTTAATTTAAAGAAAAAAGGAGAATTATCCATGTCTGTCAACAGCCTGTTAAGTAAGTACCTCCTCTGGGATGTTGGTGGGGCATGTCCGAATACAGAAGTCAAATCAAGCAGAGTGGGGATGGGACCCAGCTCCAGCATTCACTTTCCTGTCAAATGCCCACACCAGAAACCAGTAGTCTGCTCTGGTGCACATTGTCTTGTTTTTTTCACAGAAGTTCAATTCTGGACCTGGGAAATGGTTATTGTTGAAAGATTTGTCAAATCGTTTCAGTGAAAGTTGAAATGTTTCAGTTTCAGTAGATTTATTATCCTCCAGTGGAAAAACATTTCACTAAAAAATTCCCAGCCTGTTCTACTTCTGAGTTTGCCCTGTAAAAATGTTTTTGAGGAAAGTCTTACTGTAGTGAAGAACATTCATGCTGAAGGAGGACAAGATTGTGCTCCTTGAGCTGAGTGGGCTTATTATCTTGATGCATGATTCTTGTTCACTTCCTCTGGTTGCCTGTGCCATCATATTGCTTCATGAATTTGTGCAGTGCACCTGTCTGGGTCAGAGAACTGATACAGATCAAACGTAACTTGTCTCTTCAGGTAAGCTCCCCCTCAAAAATGCAACTGTTTGAGGATTGCTAATGGGAGCAGAACTGGGATTGGATTAAGCCAGCCCAGTTCCAGTGAAACACGGGTGAAAAAGGAGTCTGAAGCAATCAATAAGCACCCGGTAGTTTTAATGCCGTAAAAAGTAGTTTCTACCACATTGCATTGGTACTTGGTACTTATTTAGCTGTTGGTAGTGCCATGGTGTAAATCTGATAATGGAAAGGATCAGTGATAATAATATTCCCCCGAATACTCAGTTGTTTCGACAGAAGGGCCAAGGCTGTTTTTAACCTGACTCACTTCAGGTTTGAAGAGCAGATATGAAGATACAATTGCCAGCTAAGGTGAAGGATTGGGATTGAGTGAAGAGAGAGAAGACTGGATGGTGGTAGGGAAAAAAAGAATTTCTGATGCTGAACTTTGTATATGGGGCATTTGTCAGGGGGTGTGGGGTTGGGGGAGGGTAGAACATAGCAGCTGTCTAAAAGAGCATGTGAGAAGAAATGAGAATTCAAGGAAAAATATGGAGTAAGCAAGTCCATAGGGAATGATAAGGAAAGGCTGCCTGCTCCTCACCTGGAGGGCAGCCATGCTGTGCCATGGAAAGGCACACCCTGGATTGGTTTGGTGCCACCATGGAGCTATGCTGAGCATTGAGCCCTCCACCACTTCCTGCCCTATTGCTCCTTTTGTCATCCGTGCTGTGTGCTGACTGGACTGGCTGTGCTTCCTTGACAAAATGTGGTATTTTCACCTTCTATAAAAAGCGAAGTGCAGAGGGAACTGGAAATAAATGACCTGTTGTATGGTAGGGCAAGATTTACCAATACTTTGACTTTCCTTGTGTTAATCCAAAATAGTTGTGGATGTCATGCACCATTAAACTGGCTTCATCTAAAGGAGAGAAGGAGGATAGATGAAAGAGAAGTTGAAAGTGTTAAGGGGGAGAGGATAAATAGGGTTGGGAAAGAGATTAATGTAGGAAGAGGGAACAAAGTAATATTTGAATAATAAATAATATTTGAACTGAAAAACTATCTCTGGACAAAGAAAACACAGCAAGGAGACAGCAACAGACTGTCTTAAAACTTCACTGTGCTATTAGCAGGTAAGCCAGATGTTTCTGAGTTGTCTGGATTTACTTGTGTTTTTATATACTCCACTTACTAAGCAGTGCTGGAAAGAGAGGTAATGAATACAGTACGGAGCAAAACTTTGTAGAAAATTCCTGCTTACTGCCTTGCAAATATTGTATATTCTACCTGAATTTTAAAAATGGCCCTGGCATTAACAAGTGCACCTTGTCTGACTATGAAGTGTAATCCTTTTGGGAAAAGGATTCATAAATACTATGTGAATCATTAGGAAGAATGTAGATACTCTGTGTCATGCTTGTACCTGTCTGACAAAGGTGACTAGAATGAATCCATTAGCTTCATTTTGCTTTACTGTGTGCCTCTGATGGAGCTTATATGTAGTTTTGGCAAAACTGTCATGACTTTGTGCCTGACTTACTTACCTGTTTATAAAGAAAGGGATAATAATAGTAATGATTAGATGAGGTGTTTATGAACTCCTCAAGCAGAATGCTAGTATGCTTTAGAAACGCCTGATGCATAAACTAAGATTTACTAATTTATTCTAATACTCTTCCTTATCCTTATTTTTTACCAATTGCAGTTAATACTATCAGTGCAGACATTATCCTCTTAATCTAAAATAACTATCTTCAGGACTGATTTGATCTGTTCCACTGAACTAAGGCCATTGCAGGTAAATGTTGGATTTACATTCAAAGAGGTAATTGTATCCTAAATTATCTTCTTTTGTATTGAAAAAGCCAACTTTATAATTTTTGATCGTTAATTATTTCTCAGGAATGAGAACGCTATTGCTTGATCCAGTAAATCTTTCTGAACATTAATTCCCTACATTTAGGGATTTGAGAGATTTATTTCTTTAAAAAATTGAGGTGGGGAGTTCTGTGTACTGTTTTCAGTTGCCTGGTGCCCTCTTGTGCTATGATCTGGTCTTTACACTGGTCTGTTTACTTACATAAAAAGTCAGTGCCACCCAATTTGATGAAATGCTAGATGTGCTAACCTCATATATTATTGTGTGCTTCACTCCTTGCTGGTACTGACCTCTGTTCAGCTTGTTGTTGTATAAAACACCTTCATTCTTGCTTTCTCTCTCACTGTCTTCTTTGCTGTGAGGGTGTTGGAGCACTGAAACATACTGCCTCGAGAGGTTGTGGAATCTCCCTCCCTGAAAGTGTTCAAAAGCCACCTGGATGCTTTCCTGTGTAACCTACCATAGGGAACCTGCTTTAGCTGGGAGGTTGAACTCAATGACCTCCAGAGGTCCCTTCCAACCCCTACAATTCTGTGATTCTATATTTGGTTTAAGGTTTTAAGTAAGGATGGAAAGGGTCGTACAACAATTTGAGAAAACATCATTAAAATTAATACTAAGTCTTATTTTAAACGTAACAGGACCAAGAATGCCAAGAATGCTGTAAAATAATGATCAAATATATATATAATTAAAAAAAAATAAGACTGATAAACAAGACTATCAAAAACAAGCTAGCTAATTACTTGTATACAAGAAGTGAAAAGGTTCTGTTTGGAATAAAGTAAGAATGTTGGTAACTTTTCTCATGAAGAAATTGTTGAAAAGTCCTTTGGAACTGAAGAGGTTAAGAAAGTGTTTTGGAGGCAAAGTTTAAAACAAACAGTAGCAGGCTGCTGGCAGTGTTCACCCAGGAGTTCTAAAATATTTGAATTGCTGACTAGCAGGTATAACCTCTCTCTTGAAGATGCCATGCTATGTGTGGATTGAACAGTGATAAATAAGAAGCCAGTGTTCTAAAGAGGTTCCACAGAGAATCTAGGAAACTGGGAAAACACATAGATGTTATGAGGAAAAAAAAAAAGAATTAGTGGATGCCTGAGTAAATGTAATCTGCTCAAGAACAGTAACTTTGGTCTTTGAAAAGAAGAACTGTGCCTTAGAAAAAACATAAAAAAATATTTCATGGAATTAACATCTACCTGAGGAAATGGTCACAAGTTGTACCAGAGGAAGTTTAGGTTGGACATAAGGAAGGACTTTCTCTCTCAGAGAGTGGTCAGGCACTGGAATGGCTGCCCAGGGAGGTGGTGGAGTTACTGTCCTTGGCAGTGTTCAAGAGATGCCTGGATGAGGAGCTGCAAGATATGGTTCAGTGGCTTGTGGTAGCAATGGTAATGGGAGGGTGGTTGGACTAGATGATCTTGTAGGTCCTTTCCAACCTTACGATTCTATGATCTATATGCATAAAAATATTTTGTTTGCTATAATCACTTGAATTTCTAAAAGTAACAAAGTCTGTCTCTGAAGGGCACCAATCTATGCATTGATCAGCTTGAAAGGATGATCACTGAATGGCATGCTAATGACAATAATGAATAGGCACCAGTGTACTCTTTGCAGGGCAATGTGTCAGGTGTAAGGGTCTCTGCAGGACTTGGAGAGTCCTGCGGAGACGAGAACTCTGCAGAAACATGGGAGAAACAAGGCTTTTGTGTGAACTGTTCATTGCACATCCTTCTCTAGAGATCTTAACAGAGTCTTAGTGCAGTCCTGATCAAAAGAAGTCCAAAAGTTGTCTTCTGGTAGCTGACCAGGTCATGCACTGCAATCACAAGATGTTGAAGCAGTGTTAGAGTGTGGGTCAAAGCTGATTAATGACCCATATTTTCTCTCCAAAGGGAAAATTAGCGTTGACATCCTGTCTGCCTCCTTGACTACTCAGAAGTCCTGGTTCCCACTTCATCAGATAACAGCTGAAGAGAAGTCATTGGTACCATAGCAGGGCCATCTCCTGCTGGATGGCAGAAATCTCTGGGTAGGTGCAATGCTCTGCCTATCATCTCCAGCTGCCACTGCACACCTTTTACTGGCATTAATAGTTACTGCTGAAAAGGTGACATGAGATACTGCCGTGTACAGTGAGTGCCTGAGGCCCTGTGTCACAAGAAACATATGGTCAGCTTACATGCTGAGTGGAAAGGAGAGAGTCCCATGCCAAACAGATGGAAGCTGTTAAAGATGCTTCAGATCAGAAGGACCATGCAAGTCTGTGCTGGGAAGAGCCTATGTTTGCACAGACCAAGCCACAGCAAGGTGAGTTTTTCTGCAGTCTTATAACTTAACACTGAGAACATGAAAAATACTAAGAGAAAGAAATGCAACTTATGTCTCTTTGTTGTAAGATCATTTAAAATGTCTATGTTATTCCCCTTGTTTGAAACCCGTGCTTATTTCTGATACCTTCTAATCTTTCTTCAATCTGTCCTTCACTGGTGTGCACGTCGTGTAATCAGAATACAACTTCTGGTGTCTGGAAGTGCTATGATGCAGCTCAAGATAGCTTGAGTAGTGCTTTACCATGTTTCTCATTGTTTGGCCAGATGACTGAATTGTGGAAGCTTTTAGCAGTGCAAAATGAATTGTTGTCAGTGTCTGGAAGCTCTTACCTGTGCAGTGGTGTGGGTCTGCACTAAACTCAACCCCTTTGATGCTGGCAGTTACCTACTGCCATCCACTGGAAATAGTGGAGATTTGCAATGTTACTGAGTTGCTTCTGCTGGTGATGAGCACGAGGGATTGGTTAAAGTGATTGCAGCCTTTCCTGAATTGATATTCCTAAATTGGTTGTTCATGAAACAGGTTTTCAGGTTTCCCTTGCATGGCTGTGAATGAAGCAACACAGGCAAGACTGCTGGACATAAGGATGGCAGGTTGCCTAAAGGCAGAGTGTGATAAATAAGCAATTATATACATTCAGAAATAGTAATCTTACTCCCTTCTAATGACAGTGATAAGAACAGCAAGCGTATTCACTGCTAACTTTATTAAGTTCCTAATTATGAGGATAGCTTCAAGCTTGGTGTACAGATGATAAGGAGAGGAAGTTGTTGTAAATTATCTTTGACTGTTAATCTGTTGGCAAATTGGTATCAGCAGTGAGTTTTGAGAACTTAATCTGTATTCTCTTTCTACATCATATAAATATATGTTGTAATCAGCTTTGCTCCATAAAAAGTTTTGAAGATATTCATTATAGGTCATTGTCTCTGACATACCTGGCAATGTTACTGTCCAAGGACCAACTGGATTACACATAGCTGCAGTCCTATCTGCTTCACTGCTGAATTCTTTACTTCTTGAGTGTGCAAGTCAGCATCAGGACAAACGCCAAGTGTTTATCTTTCAGCCAGACTTGAGTTAATTCAATTTCATTAGAAAAAGAAACCAGCTGATGATGTGAAATGCATGTACACAAGCTAAAATGTAGTAAACCCTTTGAAGATGCTCTTATCCAAAGGAATATAAACCTTAATCCAGCCACAAAACATTTGTATGTTGGCAGTATTGTGTGTGGTTTCAGGTGATTTATCTCAAGTTTCATCTTTCAGTTTTCTGAGTGACTTTGTATTCCCTTGCCATCAGTATTCATCCTCTCATTCCTTCAGAATTTTTATCTACTCTTGTAAGCCTTTCATCCTATGTAAGTTGTCACTACAAGTTGTTCAAGAATTACACAACAGATATGCTGGAAACATGCAAGCTTCAGAAACAAAACTTCCATAAGAAAAAAACAGATTATCCTGTATGAGTTGAACCAAAGCCTCATATTTGGTGTTTTTTAACATCTCTGAAGTCTAGAAAACAGGAACTGCTTTTGAAGTAATTTTTTTGGTTGTCTTCACTCTGGGTTTTTTAAACATATACTTCATGGTCTTACAGTGGTAATGCAATTGGACAAGAAAAGGATACTGGGAAGTCTTCAGATGTGTAAGCAGAAAAAAGGAAAATTAAATGAGAAGAAAATAAGTATTATTTCCAGTGTATAGCAAAACATTTTGTCACAGTTATCAACAGGTGGCAGTACAGCAATTCAGATCATAGCTTGGAGAAGGATGTTCGAGTAGGAAATGTTCACTTTCAGCATTGCACCTTTTACAGCATGGATCATCAGTAAAAGTGAAAAGCAAGAGCAGTGTACAATCCACAGCTGTTGGGAAAATGCATCCATGAAGATGTAAACAAATGACAGAAAGAATACAGCATATCTATATAGAACAAATTAACATTTTTGAGATGTTCTAAATCTGAAAAAGATTTGTGATACATGTACGCAGCAGCATCTATGCCCAAATGTCTTGGTTGATGTGGAAAAAATGGTGCCTAAACTTCTCAGTGGGGTTAAATAGTTGAGTTACTCTAGTGTAGGCACAGTCCTCTGGTTTTAGAGGCTCTGTTCTTTTCCACTGCAGAGCAGATGCCCGTAAAGTGTATCCTCTGCTCTAGCAAATAGTTCTAAACATGCTGGAAGCCTAAAGCCTTATGTTAAAGCTGTGAAATCTTTTTCACATTGTGTTATGACCAGAGCACTATAATTTGAGTTCAGAGACCACAAATGAACAAGATTCTTAGGAAGATAAAGTAGCCCGACCACAGGACTTCTGGGTCTATTTGCTTGTCACAGTGCAGTGTCAAGGTTTTTATTTACACAGTATAGTCTGAATGCAGCAGAGATGCTATTTCATCAGCTACTAATAATATTTCTGGAATCATAGATTAGCATCTTTATTCTATGTATTCTTGAGGGCTGCTCTGAAAGTAATGCCTCCTATTTGATGATGTTAGCCCATGATGTCAGAGGCAGATGGTGGTGGCGTGGCAGTAGAGGTTGAATCTTCCCTCCAGTATTCTCTTACAATTTGTTGTCATGCGCCAGATAGCAGCAGAGGGGCAGTCTGACAGTGATGTCTGACATGGAAAAGTGCGTGTGAAGCAAAGCTGTGGAAATGAATTCCTCCATGTGAAAAAAGATTGCACAAATTGACGTTCATTGATTCTTGTTTAATGTTGATGGAGTCCAACCAGCGAATGTGAGCACAGTGAGGCTGTGAGTGGTGCTTTGCAGCAGTGATTACAGTGACATGAAAGACATGCCACATTCCTGACAGCCAAGAAGATTTTTATGAGTGGCACACAGGTTCTTGTTCATAGTGGGCAAAAAAAACCCATAGCTAATAGCTATGTTGAAAAACAATGTTTTGTAGCTGAGAATTTGCTCTATCAAATAGTGCTATTGTGCTCTTTGTATCTGCTGTAGTTTCCATGAAAATAAATAGGAGACATTACTTTTATATTTTTCAATTTTCCTAAGCTTTAAAAGGAAATAAATGTTTGAAATATGTTAACAGGAAAAGGAGGACCAGAGATTACACTGGACCATTACTTGATGAGATTGATCACTTCACAGATAGGAGTGTAGATAAAGCAAAGGTGTTTAATGCCTTTTTGGGCTAGGGCTCTAGGACTCAAGAGTCACTGTGGGAGTGATAAACTCCAGCCAACTCTGAACTTGCACAGGATTTTCTGCTTCAGCTGAATGCCCAATGGGATTCAACCCATGGTACTCAAAGAACTGGCTGATATTATCACAAGATTTCTGTCAGTCGCCAACCTTGTGAAGTTTAAAAAGAATTAGTGCTGGATTCTGCACCTGGGAACAGGGCGACCCTGGATGTCTGTACAGACCAAGGGGCATGAGGCCAGAGAGCAGCCCAAAAGGATTCTCTCAGCAGTACGTGTGCAATCTGAACTTCATGGTAGTCAATAAATCTAAGCTTTATGGCATATGCAAACAGCTGTGTGTTGAACACTGTGCTCCCTTGGAAGGTGTAATGTAGTGATGGAGACTTCACGTGATTGTCTTGTGGATCACCCTGTAGTCACTGTGTACAGAGGGAGAATATACTTTGTATACCATATCTTTGGTCTCATCTGGCAGTATCTGTGATAGTGTGGGCTAATAAAGTTCACATGAGGAATCTTATAAACCACAGTAAGGATTGAAATGGCTGGAAGCTTTTTAAGAAAGGAACAAGAGAGAATTGTATTAGCTAAAATTATTTAATATCATAGGTGTATAAATAAATCAAACCACGAGGTCCTCAGTATAAACATTCAATTCACAAAATACAATAAATAATTAAATTAAATGAGACAATTGGTATAATAATACAGAAACCTCTCAAGAAAAGTAAATATTATACAGAACTGTATATACCGTGCTAAGACACATATTGAAGTGTCCACAATGGACACTTATGACCAAAATCATAAATATATTGTTAAACCTCCCTGGGAGGTAATGAGCTTTTATGGCTTACCCTATGTACTCAGCTACTAAGAAACGTTCTTCTTCTAACAATGCAGTCAGTACAAAGAGAGTTCACCTTACAAATAAAAACACATCAAGATTGTTTCATGTCTGGAAACGTGGTAACTAGTCCTCCCAACATAAGAGTTGGGACATTGTCATATTATTCTCCTGAGAATAGTGTTGAAGAACAAGGTGATGTCCTCTTGAAGACTGATCTGTCCTTCGCTGTTTTCTTGTTCTTCATTTGGGATTAAAATAGTACATCCTTGAATAACACACTCAATCTTTCATAGCTGTCACAAATCGAAAACTTAATAGGAGGCCTCAGCATCGTGTGAGTCTTAAGTGTATTTTAAACATATAGAGAGTTCCAGAGTGACTGCTGGCACTGCCCAGAGGAGTGGCATCAACTAAGAGCAACTGCGATAATGTTGTGATTAATTTTTCCCATATGTCTGACTGGATTATCGCTTAATACAGTTTTCTCCAGGACTTAGGGACAATTAGCCCTTAAAGATCTAGATTTGTTACAGCTTCTTGCTGGTTTGTTTGTTTGTTCAGATCATGACTTCAGCATTTTGACTAAAGTTACTCTGCAGATAAGAAATAGTCTTACTTTACAAACGAGTATATTGAGATTCAGAAAACCTACCAACCAATCTTTAGCCACTACACTTGTTGTGATGTGATCCATCAATTAAAAACAGTGGGGCAAGTCACTAAACAGAAATAGCTACATTACTTAGTTTGTTACATGCTGCCTTGCGTGCAAAAATGAACAAACAATCAAAAAAAATCAACTGTTTCAGTGTAGGCAGGAATAACCAGTTAGCTTATGATATTCTGTTAAGGAAATGGCAATTTTTCTCTTAAGAGATCCATCTTAAGTTAAAAAAAAAAAGAAGTTAAAGCAGTTAAAAGCTGCTTTTCAATCTTTTATAATGACTGCTAGTAAATATATAATGTGCAGTGTTCTCTTAAAGCATGCTAATCACATTTCACCTCTGCTACGTAATTGTAACAGGGTTTTGTAAAAAACTAATTTGAATGCACATACTGAATTACTGGAAAAGAGATTTATGAGTAAAAAAATGCCTACCTTATGTTTTGTAAAAAAGGAAGCTCTTTCCCCATGCATACAAGGGTTAGTTCATTTTTAGAATGTTAATTTTCATTCAGAAATGCAGAAACACTGAGATATAGCGGAACATTACTCGGAGGAAAAAGTTTTTCAAACAAATAAAAGCAAAAGATAAAAGAAAGACAATCCGAAGCGAAATTGTCATCAGCCAGAAATAAGGAGATGGAAAGCAAAAAAGAACTGACTGTGGAAACTTTGTTCACTGTTGCCCTGAGGATCTTCCTTCCTTCTCTTAACATATGTATGTTTTGAAGAAGTTCACATTTCAGGACAGTAAAAATGTGGAGGCAAAAAAAAAAAAAAAAAAAAGCTTTTTCTGTTAGTTTTTCTGTAGGCTGACAATTGTAAGAAAGGAAATGTTTTTAATAGTGCCTCTCAATATTTCTGGAGATAACTAAGCTTATCATTTTCCATTCCAGTTTCCTTTTTATACTGTATTTCTACTAAGTAAAGAGAAAGTCAGATGGAAGGTTAATTTTTACTGGCAGTCTTTACACTCCCTTCCAAGAGCAGCGTTTTGTGGTTCTAATTTCTCTTTGGAGGGTAAATTAACTGCTGCTTCACAAGGTACAGAATCATGGCAAGCAGAATATTGTTGTACATAATTCAGTTGCTAAAAATTAGTTCTAAGTGATGTGATACTTACTTTTATTGAAAAATAAAAAGCCAGTGCTGTCTCTGGCCAAAGTTTCACAGAAATGTACAAGGTGCAGAAGCTGTACAGTGAAGTTTCCACAAAAACTTGACAGGTTTTAAAGAAAAATTTGCTATTTAAAGCATTCTGGTGAATCAAGAGTGAACAGAAGAAATAGTGTTATGGTACATGGATATAAGAGTAAAATATTCTGAGGAAGGAAATACGCTTTTGAGAAGCTTCACTCTGAATAATCATCAGTTACTGTATTTGCTGGATCTCTTGCAGTGGCCTGTCATATCAACCATGAATTTATCTTAGCTTGAAGGAGTCGAGGTGGAATTCTGAGTCCTGAGAGAAGTTTTTTCCCCAGAGAATTCTACAAGAATTCTGCATCTCCACTTCAAGAATTTGAGTTAGCCCTTTCCCCGTTGAAACCAGGGCAAATGCCTGGTTAAGTTCAACATGGAAGCATGTCAGATCCATACCATACAGTAAGATTTGTAAATGTTTTTCCACTCTTTCTGTGATAGTTACATGCAGGATATTTTTTTTCATAGTCAGCTAAGATACAATCTAAAAACTTATAAATAAAATTGTGTGTGTGGTATTATTGTTGAAGATAAGGAAATCAGTCCAAGTAGGAACCTGAGTCTTCAAACATACTGGTAACTTTTTGTCTGTCTTCTATAAAATGTTTCAGTCACTTATGTATGAGATTCATTTGAGATGAATGCAAAAAAAGACTAGCAGCCATCTCATGCATTTCTAGTTCAGCGTAAAGTGACAGTAAAGTCCCACAAGTGAGCCTTGTTTTCTGAAATCACGGAATTTCACTGGTTGGAATTTCACTGTGAGATGAGGCTAGGATTACTTTCAAATCAGCATCATTCTTATGCTTAGCCATCCAAATAAGCCTCCTTTAAATTCTGGGGAGAAGCTTTCACTTACCACACACACAGCACAGCAAAGTAGCAATGAGAAATATTTACATTTTTCACAGTCTTAAATAAGATAGTGTCTGCTTTAAATAGTAGATTTTCAGTAGCCTTCAGCTCTGGTGTATCCACAGTTCTTGAATAACTGTGAAAAAAATGCAGTGTTAGGAATAACAGAAAATACAGGTATCAGTGCTTATTTACAGAATGTCAGAAACCAGACAGGAGGATCCAAATCTAATTGATTACCTTTTGCATCAGTTTTGAAAAGCTGTTCAGAAACTCTTGGGGCTTTTTTCTCTCGTAAGACTGACATGAAGACTCACAATGCTGAAAGATAAAGCAGAGCATGCCACTTTGAAAGATCTGACCATAATTGTAAATAATACTTAAAGACTTCTTATTAAAAAATCTAGCTGATTGTAATCACAGCCTTTTATGAATAGTAAAACCAAGACATGGGCTGTTTCAGAAAGGGATTGAAAATAGTAACTACACCTTTCATTCACAATTTTTGCAGTGTTCCCTGTTCTTTTGCCCAGTACGTCACATTGTTGTCATCATTAAAGTGCATACATGCAATTGACTGAAAGGATTGGAATGAATTTCTCTTGGAAGTGCACAAAAATTGATATTTTTTGTTTCCAAAGTAATGAAAGATTGATCTGATTTTCTAACAAGTTTGGCTCTTACGATTCTACTGTTAGAGGTGGTGTCCGTTGCAGAAAATAAGGGGCAATGATCAAGACTTTGAGCAGTGGCAGAAAATACTACCTCTCCAGAGTCTGGCAAAATGGGTCTTCTCAAGATCTTCACAGTTTTGGTGAATGTAACATTTACTTGGCTGTTTTTTGGCTGTAATTTCAGTATGCCATCCTGGAAGCAGGTCATAGCTGTGAACAGGCATCCATCCTAGGACAGGAACAGAAGGAACAATTTTAAAAGGAACATCACCACACATGTGTTAAGTTGTGATTTTTGTTCAAAATTAAGAATCCAAGATCCAACAGTGCTTTTTTTTAGTATAGTTTTAGATACACGAAGGATCCTTTGATTTTCCCATTCTTTGATAATTGCTTAAGTATTTCCTCATCAAATACGTGCCTAAAGTCTCCCTTTGGATATTAATGATGACAGCAGCCTGCTTTTTCTCTTTCATGGTGTGGTTGCACATGAATTTTTATTACACTAACAGGCTACAAACTCTCCAGAATCTCCTTTCCTGTGTGGTAGCAGTTTTCCTCACTAGGCATACAACTGTGGAAAATACCACCAAAGCCAACCTATTATCAACATAAAAAGAAAAGCAGTGTTTACTGAAGCCCATTTCTAACGCGTTTTCCATTTTTCAAAGAAACACACACTTCAAACTGCTGATTATGCATATTAGAATGGCTCCAAAGACGTCATCTTTGTTTTGCATACCAACAGCTACCAAAGCTGAATCTCGTCTGGTTTATTAGATGCCACTGCAGTGTGCTGCTTTTGCAAGGACAAGGCAACCTCAGTGTATGTTGTCTATAGCAAACGTTAATAGCATCATCTTATGTTGGTTAGATACAACATTTTATTTTCATTAAAAACCACGCTTTTGTGTTTGTTTCAAGCTTCTTACCGTAACCAGACTTGCTTACTGGAAAAAAAGTACTCTTTTTTTCGACAGATCGATTTTCCAGCTGAAACTGAAAACATTTTGTGCCTCATCCGTGATGAGCTGAGAAACTAGCACTTCTCATATATGCTGCTTTTTCTTTTCTTATTTTGCTGAGTTAACAGTTAGCTGTAGGAAGGCCAACAGTCAGAGGGCCACAAGGATTTTTGGTATGTTGTGATGGGTTCAGCATTTTGATGAAGAGGCATTAAAAAGTGTGTACCGGTGGTGAAGTCTGAGGGGCGCTAGGTAAATGTGTAAAATAGCTGTGCCAGAAACAAACATTCTACACCTGACTAACTTTACAGATTACCTTGAAAAACCTTTGCTTCCTGAACTAACAACAGCAGTTAGATGCTTATGTGATTTAAATGGGCACTGTGCCATTGGCTTCAGCTGCACGGTCTGTCTCCAAGGTCTATCCTATTTTCCCTCCAGTCTTTTGAATCAACTCAGTATGAAGTCTTCCTCAGCTTCAGTATCTTTTCTTTTGAGTTTGTATCTTCTGCTATCTTTAGCCTTCCACTACTTTATTTTTTATTTTTTATTTTTTAAATCTCACTTGAATGTACAAGGAAATGATGTGGGATTGCACTGGGGCTAACATTCAGTCCATTCACTGGTATCTTAAGGAATTCAAAACCAGTATTGATAAACCACTGAATTTTTGATGTAATGAAAAATTGTATTCTTCCTACGTATTGAAGGCCAAATTCAAGTCTGCCATAAGCAGGTTATCGTATAAGTAATGCTATGATATTCAAAGTGCAGTTTTATTAAATCTAGTTTTTTTTTTTTTTTAATTTATTTTTTTTAATTAAATCTAGTTTTGTACATTAAGGTGTAACTGCAACTTTGGTGTGCTATAGTTTGTATAGAATCATAGAATTGTTTGAGTTGGAAAGGAACTTTAAAGGCCATCTAGTCCAGCTCCCTTGAAGTGAACAGGGACACCTGCAGCTACGTCAGGTGCTCAGAGCCCCATCCAGCCTGAACTTGAGTGTCTTGCCTCTCTGGACAACCTGTGCCAGTGCTTCACTACCCTTGTTGTAAAAATTTTCTTCCTTATACTCAATCAGAATCTCCCCTCTTTTGGTATGAAGCCATTTCCCCACATCCTATCACAGCAGCCCCTGCTGATGAGTCTGTCCCCATTCTTATAGCCTCCCTTTAGATACTGGAGGGATATATAATATATATAATAGAATAATAGAATATATAACATATGTGTATTTGGATAATTCAATACATGTAAATTTCACTCCACAGAATAAAATCCTTTTCAGTCTGATTGCTGGTAATAATTACTGTTAACAATTACTCTTAATAATTAGCATTATCTTTTCATCAGGGATCAAACCTGTATCGATCTTAGTACCTTCCAAAATACCTAAATTCTTCATCTGCTATACTTTTTGACAGAGGTACTCGGGACCTCCCAGAGCCAGCCTGTAAAGCTCTGTGCTGCAAATGAACTGTTGTCTTCCTTCCTGGTGTTTTTCAAGAGAAAAAAAAGCAACAACCCGATGAAGTGATTAGTCACTGGGTGTATTTGCTTGTTTCAGAGGTAGCAGTAAACTCTGCAGTAAAATGATGGCTAACCATCTGGCTCTTTTCACTTTGAGGGTGCGAATTAGAAAGAGGGCTAATGAAAAAAAAACAACATCGGGTGCATTACTTTTTGCATTGCAGTTGTTTCTAGCAATCAGATAGAATGGAATATATCTGTTTTGGTCATGCTTCTCTATGTTTTTTGCAAGTCAAAAATGCACCAGCCATAAATCTTAGGAGGAGGCTAACAGCTTTGTGAAAAGAGGTGAGTTTTTTTCCTTTCTTCTTGCAGTTTGCAAAAAAAAAGTTTACAGCCCTGAGTAAACACCTTTATATTCTGCAAGTGTTTTTTTTTAATATGCATGATGATTATTTTTACATCTTGCTTAAAATCGCTTTCTTTCTGAAATAGGTGTCCACACCCATAAACAAACATGATGGGTAAATTTAAGATAACAGATAACAAGGTCTTCATTGCATGTTGGGGATTATCAAAAGAATGCAGAACACACTGAGTTTCTAAACTTTTAAGACATGCTGTTATTTTTAGCATTTCATTATGCTGTAAATCCCGCATCCTGCCAGTATGTAGATACGTGCACGCTTTCTGTGACTCTAGCGTAACTTAATACATATGAGAAGTTCCTGACTTCGAATAATACATAGTATCATCATTTTAAAAATGTATTAATAAATATTGGTATAAAAAGAAATTTGCGGAGACCTGCTGTGGTTATTTTAACAAGTTATAATGTAAAGAGAATACTTGCAGAATGCAGCTTTGTCTCCTGGTCTGTGTGGTAGCACACACTTTGCTCGCAAGTAGTCTGACAGAAACCAGTGTGACTGCATGAAAGGAAGTGCTATGTAATATAGCCTTACAGTACCACTCTTGACTTTTATCTCCAGTGGGAGGGAAAGGGGATCCCTTCAGACTCCGTTCAGCAGTGTTGCCAATGCACCTGGAGCTCACGGTAGCTGGAGGTGCTTCATTGCCCAAAAACTGCATCCTCAGGAGCATTGCTAGTCAGGCATTTTTATACTCATGGCACTGAGTAAAGGGAACACTTACAAATTTGAATGTAGATGTGCTAGAATGCCCAACCTAACCTAACCTATCACTAGCCTAATAATTAAGACTGCATAATATAAACACTTCCAATATGAAAAATCCAGGAATAAGGAACTTCTATCAAAGCATCTTCAAACATAGATTAGCTTGTACTAAGAATTCTAGGTCAGAGATTTGAAAAAGAAGGCATGTCGATTTGTCAGTGGAAATAACCAATACAAAATGCATTTGATATAGTTAGAAAGAAGTGTTTAACCGGTCTCACCTCAGGGTTTTCTGGTGTATGCAGCAATTCAACATCCTACAATAAAACAAATCTAAGTTAGAAAAGTTTAGCATTTGAGCAATGTCTCTCAAAAGATATATTCAATGCATAATACTTGAAAATAATTTCAGAATTAGGACAAATGCTCTGCTTACCTTATCTTTCACTACATCTTTTAGATGGTCAATTGTCTTTGCAAGCTGTTTGTATTTCATTGCTTTTGGTGGAGCTGCAGTCAGCACCATACTGGAACAGAAGAAGAGCATACAGAAAATAATCATCCTCTCCATACTCTGATGAGTTTTGTTGTGTTAGGAGCAAAGTTGCGCTATCCAAGATGAACACTTCAGTTTGAGCTGTGCTCAGGTATGCCACATACCTACCTATATATTGGTCTTTGATGCAGATGTAAAACCCACCCATTTCAGTTTGGAAAGCTTTGAAGAATGGATTAATGAGTAACCCTTTTTTCTTTTCCATTGGCTAGGTGAGTTTGTGCGTAGGGGGGCAGGGATTGATGGAGTGAATTAAAATATGCCCCATCTGCACATTGGACAGGAAAAAAAGAGAAAAGGGTGAATTCCCATTTTCGCTTTGAGTCAAAAAATGAACGTAGTAAAAAGTAGATGCTTAGAAACCACAGGCCCAGGTAAACAAAGATTCTGCTTTTTTTTTTTTTTTTTTTTTTTTTTTTTTTTTTTTTTAACTCTTCTTGCAGCAAAGAATCTCTTCAATCCAATTGAAAATCATCCATATCATGCTGATGAAATATGGCAGGACTTCTTTTCAGAACATTAAAGTACTTATCCTACTTTTCTTTCTAGCTCCAGAGGATATGTAGCTTGATCCAGCTGATGTCCATGAACTGTCACCTTTACACTCATGCATGGTTTCTGCAACAGCTGTGGATAAAAGGTCATTTTAACATTCAAGCTAGCTGATGTCTACTTTTTACTTCAAACTGATTTCACATATTTTAACAATGTGCTAGTGAGTATGTGCACTGGGGGCTGAAAGTGCATTTGCAGGGGTCTGACTTCATGGAGATGCATTGCCATGGGAGAAGTGGATTCCTATCCCATGCCCATTGCCCAGGTGGGAACAATATTGCAGGATCGGTACTAAGTTGTCAGTCCCTCAGAACGTTATCATGTTGAGACTGTGACTGAGTGGATACGGCAGCTAAACATGTTCAGTTATGTTTTGTCACAGTTAGGCTGTGGAAGTTAGCTTTGCATATCTATGCAACCCCTTCAATGGAGATGTGACACTGAGACTAGAGAATTCTCTAGAGAACGCCGAAATGCCTTTGTGCGGTGTGAAATAGATTAACAATGCACTTTACAAAATTTAAAGGGAGAATAAAAACAGTGGAATAATCTGAATTAAGAAATAAGTCAGATTCCTGTGATTTCCTTCAAAATTGTTGCCTACTGCAATGAAGTACGTATGCTACTTCTGAGGAAGCAGATTTGAGATTATTACTTGAAAGACACATTAGTGGTGGGAGCTTTTCCAAGGGACGTCAGTAAGGAATGTTCTTTTATGGGGGTACCTCAGTTGTCTTCTTGCTAAATGGGTGCCACGGTATTTATAGACATTCCCAAATATACTCCTTTTTTTTGTTTGTTTGCTTGCTTACTATTTGTTTATTTATCAATTATTTTCCTCCAGCCTAAGCTCCATTTTCATGAGAGAGTAATCTCACTTATTTGCACTGAGCATACAGAGCAGCGCTGTGTGAGCACTAGGGACTTCCGTGCTGCCACCTCTGGGAATCTTTGCAACACCACTGCTCCTAACACTTCATTGCAAGGAGGTAAAATGCCTTTAAATGTCTGTTAAATACTGTCAGTAATAAATGGTTATCAACACTGTTGTATGACCATTACAGGTTGCTGTGTAGAACAGGTAGAGGGCAAATAAAATCAGTTGAGCACCTTCACTGTGATAAATAAAAAGGTACCTAACTGTCTTAAATCTTGGCCTCTTGAAGATTTTAAAGCAAAATAGAAGGTGTTTGGACTTCATTTTGATGTTGTCTTACTTAGAAGGCTAGTCTGTGTAATAAGCTGGCACTCTACAAAATGCTTCTATTTTTATCTGTCAGGTGGGTCAATCAGACACTCAGTTGGGATGACTGATTTCTGTCTATTTCAAAATCTCTCACCATTTAATGTGGTGTGTTTGTTTTCTGTATGCAAATGTTTATTCACTATAAACAGTTTATAATCTTTCAGCAACTGGATAGCTTGGAGGAATAGATTTTAAAGGTGTATGCATGTATGTCTACACAAATGCACTTATGCTTTCATGTACGTACAAAATGTCTTCTGCCAAAAGGGGCAGCTAATCACACCTGACAGAACAGGAATCCTGAGAAATGAAAATGGAAACAAGATAGAAAAATATTTTCTTTTAGCACAGTCTAAAATATAATTTCATCAATAAAAGGTAGTGCAGTCATTATTTTTTTTCACTTGTTTTGAAGGACATGTTTTGTGTTCATTTTAGATGAGCAGCTTAGAGGGACTGAAGTGGAGGGAATCTCAGTTTTTATTCAGAAGTTTTTAATTTACAGCTAACGTTCATAAGTGGAAATCAGAAGCAGTAGAGACACTTTGTTTGAGAAACCATAACCAGTACTTATTTTTATCCCTTCTTTCACCTTATTCGTGTGAATTTTTGTACAGTTTGTTGTTTTCAAATCTATTGTTTAACACCTCTGTGAAGCTGCTGAAGGGATGAAGAGATTATTATTGTGGTATTGTTTATGTGAAGCTGATACTTAAAGTCTGCTCCTCTTTAACCTAACTGAATCTTCATCTTCTCTGTAGGTTATTGACAAGTAATTTAGATAAACATACATTGTATTCTCAATACGGTTTTCGATAATGCCATTGGAGCGTTCATAGTTAAGGAGCAGACCAGTGATATGTATGTTTCTGCCTTTATTTTTAGTGTTTCAAATTTGAATTTTTTTGAGAAATTTCTTTGAGCCCAGCTTCTGTAGGTAAACATTCTAGCTTTTATTTTAGGCAGCTTTATTTGGTTGATAGGTTGGAAGGTTTCCATTTGGATGTGAGATTGACTCTGTTAGCTTATTAGATGGTTGGCAGTTACTCATGCAAAAATGCCACTGCGTTGACCAGACAACTTCAGGACCACTCAAGAACTTCAGTTAATGCTGTCCGTGAATTTTCAGGAACTCAGGGCTTGAATGGGCAACATAGAGGCATCAGCTCCTATCGACTGCCATGACAATATGTCATAATTATTTAACTGTTGTCTTTACTTCCATAGTTGGTTCTTAAAGTCTCTATGCTTAGAAATCAGAGACATTTTTACTTCCAGCCTTGATGGCACCAACTGTTAGCTTAGTCACTTCTGTTCTTACACTGATGCTGTCATTCAGCTTAGATTGTTTTCTCTGAAAACTGATGTTTTCTCATTTGCTTAGCTTAGAGAGAGCAGTCAGACCCCCTTGGGCCCCAGACTAAGCACACTGATGCCTTTAAGTGTCCCTGTCCTCTGATCATCCCATCCATTCTGCTCTGCACACCTCCATTGGTTTGGCAGACACCTCCATTGGAATGGTTGATAATATTCTGGATGAGGTCCCAACATCTCTCTGTGCAGGAGCTATAATATTGTATTGAACCATCTGGATGTGATTCACTTATTACTGACTAAAATTGCATTTTTGTTGGTCCTTGATAATTTGTTGGACGTGAGTAACGCACAGCTACACTGTGGATATTACTGTGTCACTGGGAGTCATTTGCAGATTCCCAGGACTGTACTCTCACACTTGACCATGTCCTACAGCTGTATAGAAGAACCATACCTGTGTAGCAAACAACCATTTTAATTGTCATCTTTTTTTTTTTTTTTTCTTTTCCTAAAGTAATAATTAAGGGTCTAATGCACTGATCAGAGATTAAATTAGAGCAGCTTCTAGAGATAGTCTGAAGAACAATGAGACAGTTGTGCATGAGTGGTCCTGAGATTGTCGCTGTAGGAAAGAAAATAATTACAATGGCAGACAAAGGCAGCTTTAAATTCCCTGAATCAAGCTCAAGCATGTTGAGAACTGTTTTAAAATTCTCTTCTTGTTTAAAGGAGGCTGTGTCATTGCAAGCTTCATTTTTTAAAAAAGAAGCCGTTTTGTTAGACTCTGGTTCTCCACATTCTGGAATATTTAATGACATTGCAAACTAAGGGAGAACTCTGCTGATAGATGCCAGGTTGTGCATGCTGCATGTAGTCCCAAAAACACTTTTTATATCAATGCACTGTAAAAGGCAGTTTATTATATCAGAGGAGACGTTAATGTGAATGGTAGGTGGCAGTTTCAAAAATCCCTGTCTATTTTACAGTGGAACCTTATGTGTGAAAAGGTACCTGTAAAACAGCATCAGAGAGCACTTGGGCAGCAGGTATTTAGTGAAGCATTGTCACTTAATACCCAGAAGCATCACAAAAATTTGGCAGACCTCATCTCTTTACCAGTCTAGCAGGATAATTCATGGGCTAATTGGAGGTATACTAATGAGACAGCTCTATCTGAAATATTCCTCAATTAGATCTGTTGTATTGTAAATCAGTTATGAAGTCGATGGAGCAATTAGAATAGGAAACTAAACAACTAGTTATTTGGTAATGTGATAGCAAGTGATTGCATATCATTTCTCTAAATTTGTGTAGTCTTCTGTTTTGTGTTAGAGGCTCTAAGAGCATAATAATTGTTTGAAGAAAGGCACACTGACAGAGAAAGTGAAATATAAGGACAAAGAGCTTCCTTTTTGTCTAGGCAGTGGAGAAAACTCCTTGATATCCCTCTCATCAGATAAGAGCGAGCAACATGGTTTTTATATACGTCACTTCTCTTTTGTGGCTTAGGAACATGCTGAGTCAAATAATGATACTCACTCTCACACTGTCGCCTGCCTGGCCTTGGAGGGATGGCTGCAGAGTGGAAATCTGAAAAACCTCCCATCCCTGGCCCATTAAGTGAAGTCCTCCTCTTTCCTTTTTGCGACATTGCCACTCAACACCCAAGTACTGAATGACTTCGACCCTAAAAACCTGGTTTCCCCACCCACATTTTCCTTTACAGTGTAGCTGAATGGAGGCTTTTCCCATAGCTTAGTCATTGCTATGGCTCAGCCAAAAAAAAAAAAAAAAAAAAAAAAAAAAAAAAAAAGGAGAAGCCTGTAATGCACGGAGCTGCTTTCAAAGAATTTTTGTAACTTATGTATGTGATGTTCCACATGTATGCCATCCATGGGGAGAGTGTAGGAAAGCAAACTGGAAAATGTGAGCCTAGAAAGAGGACCTTTATCAAACAGATCTAGGAAAACTAGTTTATAAACTAGTTTATAAAATATTTCTGACAACTCTCTCCAAATATTATTTTCTTCTTCTTAACTTTGCATAGGTCTTCTGTCTTCTAACCTTGCTTAGAAAAGAGGAAAACTAACTACCAAAAGCAGGGAAAAAACCTCTTCTTAGCTATAAGTTATATTTTCTATGAAAATCAGAAAAAATACAACTCTCAGTGTGGTGAAAAGGCACTGAAAAATTAATAGACTGCATATAGTACAATAAAATTATTGAGATTCTCCATAATGTTCCTCCACAATGTTATGTTATAGACAGTTTCTAATCTGCATTGAAGTGGATTTGGCAAATAAAAAGATCCCATGCGGTAGATGAAGGAATTGAAAGAACAAAGGGAATGGCTGTGTCAGGAGACAGTGTATTATATATATATAGCAAAGAAAAGAGCACAAGTGCTCATCTGGCTGAGTTATAAAGTAGAATCTTACAAGTTCATCATTGGCGAGTCAGATTAAAGTAACTGTGTTGTACTCCATCTTCCTTGCTTCTGGATACTGAAAAAAAAAAACAGAGTAATCCTCCTGCTACTCTTCATGATAAACATTTCATTACCATAATTGCCCAACCAGACCAAAGTCATGAGCAACAAATTCCCCAAACAGGTGGAGTGTTTTCTACATGGGGACTAAATATGTGACTCCGCAAGCCCCAGTACTTTTTTCTTTTAACGAGTACAAAGTGATGGACACCTGGAGCAGAACTAGCTCACAGTCCTGGAGCTGGCAAGGCATCATACCTGTCCCACACCTTTTTACAAATCCAAAGTTCTTTGAGAATTGACAAATCAGACTTGGTATGTAGTACAGAGAAATCACTGGATGGATTTCTTCTGTCTGTGGAGAACTTCCATGGGTGTCAAAGAACCCCCATATCTGTTCATAGTAGGGGCTGAGCTGGTACCTAGGCGCTGTGGGTATGCCTGTGTTCAGCCTCTGGCTATTACTAGATTTAAAAATCATTTTTTTACTCTTTGAGTAGTGAACATCAGCTACATTATAACCTCTGGTTCTTGATTGCAGATAGGGCTGAGATGCAATGCCATCACGCAACAGAAAAAGGTAATGTAAGAATGAAAGAGACTTGGATGGAAAATAGAACCTGCTTTCAAGAACAGGCAGAGACTTTCTGAATCTAGTACAGCCCTGTTCATGTTTTTGTCTAAGTTTTGGAAACAGCTTCAGTTAGTGAAGATGCATGAGTAATGCAAAGCCATTTGCAAATGTTCCCGTACTGTCTCATTTGCTTTGTACCAAGCGTTATAGTCTTAGTGTTCTTTTTTTTTCCTTTTTTTTTTTTTTTCTGAAGGTGTGACAATGACTGTAAAGCAGAACAATTTATCGTTAACAGTAGTTGTATATTTGTTAAATACCAGATGCATCTTGCTCCTCAGTCAACCCAATGGTGTCTTCTTATGCATGAAGTGTGGTTGATGTATTTCTTATCAACAAATAATGACAAACTGTATTGAGACATCCAGAGCCTGACGCAAGGCTGGACCAGCTATGCACAGCATAAGATGCTCAGAAGAACTGTCCTTTTGAGGCCATATCACTTCAAGTCTTCCTTTTATTGTTGGAGCAGTCACCCACCTTCTGGGTAGTACCTTTCTCTGCATGTAGGAAGGAAGAAGCCTTGCTGGGTCACTGAGTCTAGTCTTCTGCCATTGCAGGCATTCACGTCATCCAGTCTCTTTCACATCTTGGCTGTGCTCTCCCGCATCATTATCAGTTCAATCTTGGTAACGATAAGAGCTCAGAGCTTTTTCTGTGCTTGTGCTGTGTTCCAGCTTCTATAGGGCATCTTCATTTTTATTCACAGCACATCTTTCCCCACTGCTAAAGGACAACCACCTTCAGAAGACAAGGCAGCAGCTGTCAGGATATCAAGATAGCAATTTGAGGACAGAAAGTAGTTCTTCAGCTGAAAGACACACGTGTACAGGGAGATGAGGGCTATAAGCAAGAAAAGTCAGTGCTCCTTTTCTGTACTGCAGCAGTGAAATCTCCTGCAGCTGCATGGTGGCATTTCTCTGTGGCTCTTCAGATCTTAAGAAGCATGGCCAGCGGGTGTGCAATCTTTCTACCACAGGAGTGTTCTCTGTATGAAACACGTTTTGGAATAATTCCGTTAAAGAACAGTATGGCATGTGGTGTGACAAACTGTGACGTGGTGGTACTGAATCCCAAATGTAAATGTCCTGTTCATTCAAAATGTTCAGAAAGAGAAGTCAAATGAGATGTATGCAGATGTTGGACAGGGAACAGAGAAAGCAGAACAACACAAAGAAAAAGTTCAGTCTTTGTTAATTTATTAATGTTTATGAAGAGGGGGAACAGAAGTTGAAAGAAATTTACTTCTATTTTACAATATCAACACTATCAAACAAGTAAAAAACAAGCCACTACAGGCTCAGAATGGGCAAATCTGCTGCAGTTTCTGGCCGTGTGTGACATACAAAAACCACTGGCTTTTGGGCCTTCCTGTAGTGTCAGTGTTGACATTGCAGTCTGCTATTTCAATATCAAAATTAGAGGTTTGTTATGAATTTTGGAAGTCATTCTCTGGGTTTGATGAGGCTGCTGTGCTGGTTTGGGATCTCTCCAGCAGTAAAATTGTTTCCCTATTGCGTGGTCTAGAGCAAACAATAGGACATAGTTTGGGGGGGGGAGAGACTGTGGCCTCTCTTCCCTCTTTTCCAGCAAATATGCACTGATTTTATCTTCCTTACAGATACCTTCTACATCAATTTATCTTTAAAATCAAATACAGTTTTTTGCTTTTTATTATGTTTTACTTTTTTGGCATGTGTTGGTACAAGCAGATGACTGAATACTGCTTTTATTTCTAAATAGTTTTGGGTTCTCTTGCATTACCAAAATATCTTTAGATTTTACTACTGATCATAAGTGTCTTAATGTCTGTGCATGCATACACAGTTTTTATTAGAATTATTTAATGATACTTCTGGTTTGAAGATCAGTAAACTCATTGACATTGTTTTCCTGCCATGGCTTTTGTTTCCCAGGTCAAGGAACTGTGTCATGCCATACCAGGCTGGGGCATTTCTGTGGCACAGTGAGAAATGGTGAATGCAGAGGAGCAGCGTGAGAATACACAGGAGGATGTGGTCTGCCTCCCCTTGAAGTGACTCCACATATCTGCTTGCAGACAAGCTCCTCAGCTTATATTGTGCACTACTACACTGAGTGCTGCAAACCACTGTGTGAGCCATCAGAAGCTTATGCTTCAGCTCCTGCACAGAGAAGAGGCTCTATTGTCAAGCTGTGTAACCAAAGAGCAGGCTGATGCAGGAGGCACCCCTGCAAACCTCAAGTTGTAGTAGCACAAGTGCCTTCTTCAGCAACAAAGCCAGTTAAAGAACTTTCTACTCCATGTCACCACCATTCTCTTGTGGCTCTGCGTCACAGTTTATTTGTCTTTCAGGAGCCTCTGTTACAGCTGCTGGTATCAATGGAACAATCCAAGTTAAAAGTCCTTCTAGCAAACAGCTAGGGAGTTTGCCTGTTCGTTTTGCTTCATTTTGATTAGAATTATTTTACTACCAACTCTGCTTTCTCCATAGCACAACAGGTTTACAACGAGCAATGCATTGCTAGAAGTCAGAAACTCCTCTTCTAATGGCTCTGCTGCAGATCAAAACCATGGATCGCCTACGCAACAAGTACCTCCTAGCACACAGGGCCGAGGGGGCCACTGGGTATCACTGAGCAACAGCATTCCAGGAACAGCAATTGTTTGCCAGTGCAAATAGAATTAAGCCCTTTCGCTGTGGCTGAAACATAGTTTCTGACAGAATCATTTTAAGGAAGAGAATTTAGGAAAGTCTTAACCCAGCAGCCTGGTCTACATTTAAAATTTGCTGGTATTATGTCACCATTTTGTTGAGTTTTGTTTGTTTGTTTTGTTTTGTTTTGTTTTCCAGGCAATTATATCAATAACATCTCCGATGTGGTTGCTACTATACCATATAGAACTGTCTTAAATAGCAATACGAACTATCCCATTTCTCGTACTCTTTGAATATAATGTACTTTGTTATGACTTTATGCTTCAGTAAATGTACTGTTTCATTGTTTACAGCAGGTTACAGAATGCTCAGAGGCTGCTGCCTAATACTATACTTAACAGATAAAACTCAAATGCAGTATCTCTAGAAAAGAAAAAAGCTTGGTCTATTTTTTCAGAAATTGTTTGGTCTGCCTTCATCTGCAGCCAGATGCATATAACGGACGTGAATGTGTCTACCTGCATCAACAGATTTATCTTGTATGTGTGCACTCGTACACATTTTAAAAGCTAAATGATACAGTTGCTTTGCATAATGAGTTTCATTTTTTTTCACAGGTCAGCACCTTTAGTGAACCCTGGAAAAACTAATGTGCGATCAGTCATCGCACTGAAGCAGCAGCACCCGTTCAGTAGTCTTGGACAAAAAGCTGAATGCTGTGGTTTCAGTAACTTATCATTGAAACCTTGTGGTTCTGTGTAGGAGGTTGCACAAGCTGGACACATTTGACATCCTTGTTTCTGAACGGTGAAATCTGTACATCTAATTTATGAAAATTATCTCTGGTGTGATTTTATTCTATTTTTTTTTAATGAAGTCAACATTATGTTTTCCCTGCATTCAGTGGAAACAATAATGGAAATGTTTTAAGATGTTCTGTGAACCCGTTTTGACCTTAAAAGGGAGAGTAATAAAAATATCCTTGATTTTGATTAAGTTCTAAGAAGGAAATTAAAATTAAATACTTGGAGTTGCAGTTGAGAAGAAAGTATTTATCGGGTGGGGAAACAAACAGAGAAATGAACTGTGAGAAGTCACATAGACATTATGAAATAAAAACCTTCCAAGTGAGAATATGATATTAAAAAAAAGCAACGCAACAAAGTAAGATAGTTTAGAATAAACCAAGGTATCCGTTGTCTTTCAGACAGTCTCTGCAAACTGATAAGTTCACATGCAGGGCAAATGCAAGATGTATCTGCAGCTTAAACAGTTGAAGTTGCATCAAACAAGCAAAACAGTGTAAGTCATCTCTAGTCAGTTAGTGCATTTTTTTTTTCCCTTTTATTTTATGCTAGGTACAGTGAAATAATGCAGTTTCTTGACAAGTGAAATATGCTGATGTTGGTGCAAAGGATATCACAGCAGGTATGTGTAACCGGAATTGGAAGGAGGAGAAAATAAATTTTTTGGCTTGTTCATGCTGTGTAGCTTCAGAAGAAATACATCCACAACTGCATTGCCAAACTGGAACTGGGACCCACCATGGACTCTTATCTTCCTCATTTACACTTCTGCTTCTGCCTTCTGCTCTGGTGAGTGCCTGCCATCATTTAAATCCTCAGAAAGCTGAGCTGTGGCAATAATAGATAGCTGAACCTCTAATAGTGGCAAATCACCTTCCTTTCTGTCACAAGCAGCAGAACTACACTTAGTACCAACAGAAGTATTGCCTCTGAGAAGTAAATTCCCAGGAGCATGTGTGCCATTCTCTGTGGTTAAACATAGTAAGCAAATCTAGGGAAACAAGATGATCAAAGACCTTTGAATAAAATACAAAAGAAAAGAAAAAGAACATTTGAGGTACAAAACAAAGTTACTTGCTAAAATATAGGGTCATAGAATTATAGAATGGCTTGGTTGGAAGGGACCTGTAAGATCATCTGGTTCCAATTCCAGTATAAATAAATGACCCTAGGTGAAAAGCAACTACTCATTGCATTTGTGGGAGTACAAAAATCTGTCAGGAAGCTTTAGTCGAAGATTATATAATACTTCTTTGCGAGCAAAGATTGAAAGTGTCATCACCTACTGTCGAGGGAGACTGTCAAGTTTCATGTTAATAATTTTCAGTAATTTCATTTCTATATCAAAACATCAATAGAAAGCCATAGATTTTAGTTCCTTCCTACAACTTCATTGGTTCTGATAGGAGACTTGTTTATTTTCAAAAAGGAAAAAAAGAAGTGTTACTCTCTTATTGTACGATTCACTGGAAAATAAAGATGTCTTGTCCTGCTGGTGTTTTCTTTCCAGAAACCTGAGCTGATAATCATTACAACTGCAGCTGCAAGTAAGTGTATAAGCAAATGGTAAAATTGCTATCTTAAGTTAGTTTTCTGGACAATTACATTTTTTATTGCCTGTTATTTGTATGCTTGTTGCAGAATTATGACACCAGATTCTTTGAGCATACCATGCTGTTTACCTGAACTGACTTGTGGGAAGCTGAGAGAAAAATGAGGGTCCGCTGCAGGTGCTGGCTGAAATCAATGGCAAATAACCTTTTTCCTCCATAATCATTGCAAGCATGGAAAATGTAGATAACCAGAGAAGTACTGTCTTTTTGAGCATCCGAAATTTACCTGTAAGTAGTATCTTAAGATTCTGTTTTCCTCTGTATATCAGAATTTTCAGTCCGCATCTTCTGCTGGTTATCACAGGGATTACACAACTGCACTGTTACTGAACCCTATGAAAAACTATCTGTTCCTCTTTTTTTCTCCTTTGCTCTGTAACTACAGTTCTTGATACCTGGTTGGCAGCATTTTAAAGTGGTTCTAAGCCACTCCATTTCTACTTGTCTTTCTGGGACTGGTCTTCCTCCCAGCCGACCTACCTGTTGGTGGCTGAAGATAGGCAGCGGTGCGTAATTACCGTACACCAGCAACAGGCACCCCTGTCCTCTCATTGCAGTGCTGTGGCAATGTGGAGCAAAAGCAACAGCTTACGTCTCCCATTCAACTGACTTAATCTCCCAGTGTTGAGGGCCCAACTCAAAAGGACGTTCTTTCCAGTACCAGCCATTCACTAGCTTTGTGTTTGCTTTCAGGGAATGAGTTTGCAGAATGACCCAGACCAAACTGCATCATGCCCTGGTAGGGTGGATGTGACCTACCCAGCCTTCACCTTCAGCTCAGAACTTCATCCACTGTTGCCATCAGCAGAGCCATTTCTGGCAACTGTGTATACGCTTGTAGCCCAGCCACAAGCAAAAGAAAGTGTTAAGAGCTGAAATCAGTAGGAACCTTGTATTTTACTTGCCCTTTGGACTGGTCAAACAGTGCACAGACAGCAGTTCTTTTAGCCTCAGCACCCTGATCTTCCATACTTGTGTCCATGCCGTGCACCTTACAGTAAGAAGATGCCAACTGGACTCTACAGTCTGCAAAATAATTCTATATAATGTTGCTACACAAAGGGTGACAGCACAGAGGGAAATGGAAACATTAAAGATGAGAACTGGAAAACTCTTTGCTTTTGTTAGAATGCTTTTGTCAGAAATGGCCTGAAGGAACAGAGGAGACGAATATGCAATTTCCAAAACAGTATGGGGAGATCAAAGGAGGCTGACGTTCTTTCAGATTGCTGTTGTGGCGGATCTGCAGGAGGAAATTGAAGACGAACATTACTCTATTTTGGAAGGTGCCATTAAAAATGCTGCATGTTGAAGAAAGCAATAGACACTGTAGCTGTCATCCTGTTTTCTTCTTGCCACTGCCCTCCACATTTCTGTGTTGGCCATGCTGAGTTTTCCTGAGATAAAAACCATCATTCAGTTCACTTAAATCATCCTTACATTGAACAAAGATTGAACTGTTTTACCTTCTGATATAGTCAAATGCCTTAGAAGCTCTCCCTGCTCAATCTCTGCCTTGCCTTGTTGTCTCTTCTATTGCTAGATTATTTCAGTGCCTAAGAATCAAACAAAACATATTTTTCCTCTTATCAGTTCCTATTTGATTGTATTGATTTTATTCACTTTCTATTGAAACGAATAACTTGAAGTATCAAAATATTTCATGTTGACACTTTCACATGAGCATTTCAATTTTCTGTTTACAATATTTCAGACTGCAGTTATTTCTTTTTAATGGTTTTTATGAGCTGGGAAAGAACTTTTTCTTCATGGTCTGATGCAGAATATTAATCCTGAAGTGAATTCCTTTTGCTTTGTCATCTCAGAAACTGCAGTGTGTTTTGTGCCACTGCATACATCTTCTGACAAATGTAAGGTTCACCCCAGCACCCTGCTTTAGGCAGTGCAGCCTTTACCAGTCATTCTCTTGGAAAAATCTGGAAGAGCTGTAAAAAGCCTGTGTGGTTTAGGGAAAACCTGGCAAGCATATATCTGACTGAAGTCTGGAGGCTGGAGAAAGGCTGATGTTCCTCTACTTTAGTAATGCTTTTCTTCTTCTAACAGGGCCAGAATGAGTTGCTTTGTTCATTAACAGACCAAGCTAAGGAATCTGACTTACCAGCTTTTGGGACAAGCAGTCATTTCTTTTGTTGTTGTTTCTTTTTTCTCCTTTACAAGTTAAATAGTGTGACTTTTGGAATTTGAAGTGTGCCTTTATATTTAGCCTGCTGATTGATGTTTTACAGGAAGGCCTGTTTAACCCATTTACTTTCGAATATTACAATAATAACCAGGAGAAGCCAATATTTTATACAATAACATTTTTATACCTCCTTATTTATGTAAAATATTCTTTGCTGTTGTTTAACATCTTCCATAAGTTAAGTGGAAGATGGCCTTATATGGGTTGATATGGACTGCTATGCCATGGACCTGCACAGACTTCTTTGTGCTTAGGGGAAATGATACACAAGAACTTCAGTTATCTATTTTTCAATTCCTGTTTTATCCATTGACTGGAAAGAACAAGCAAGGTGCTGGAAGCACAGTGAGCACTATGACTGAACCTTGCAATGGAGTTCTTCCAAAAAAATCTGCACTCCCACCCTTCTTGAAGGTATTCAGTGGAAAGCATGATGCAGGTTACTCAAGGCTTGCTTGAGGAAAAGCCTCTAAACCAGCTCTGCATTTCTTCAGCTAAATGAAACGTCCCGAACCAGAATATGAATGAAGATTTCATAGAATCATAGAATGGTTTGGGATGGAAGAGACCTTTATGTTCATCTAGTTTCAACTCCCCTGCTTATCGGCAGAGACACCTCCCTCTAGAGCAGGTTGCTCAAAGTCCCATCCAGGCTGGCCTGGCTCCCTTCCAGGGAGGGGGCATTCACAACCTCACTGGGCAACCTGTTCCAGTTTGTCATCACTGTCACAGTGAAGAATTTCTTCCCAATATATAGTCTAAACCTACCCTCTTCCAGTTTAAAGCCATTTCCCCTCATCCTGTCACTACCTGCTCTTACAAAAAGTCTCCCCTGCAGGCCCCCTTCAGGTACTGGATTTCTGTAAGAACGATACTGCAATTTGGTATGAATAAGCAGATCAGAGGTAAGAAAGAGATTACAGTGGTTTGAATCAGAGCAACGAGTCCATTCCTGTGTTGTTCCTCAGTCTAGTACTGGGAAAGCTTTTCAGGTCTGATTAGTCATTTGTGTTAAGTGCAGTAAATGTCAGAGAAACTAATAGAAAAAAGAAAAAAAAAAAGAAAAAACAGTAAATGTGAGGCATAGCTGCTCTCTAGTGGACTCGTGAATAGTGTCAGCAATGTAAATACAGTTAATATCCCCAGAAGATAATTATGTAGATGCTTTTGTTGGGAGACAGAAAGAAGATGAAATCTTCTCACATGTGAGTTCAGCTCCTGCTTCATTTTATTGCTGTCTCTCACTTCTCTATCTAGCAGACTTACGCCATGGTTTCAGTGAAGTTGCAGAATGTCACAGCAACTTAAAAACAGGTGTCTAATGTCCAGTGCTGTGGTGAGCTGTATTTTGTTAACCTATGTTTACCTGATAATAAACTGGTTTATTAGCAGGTGCCAGTGCTTCCCCTGTCATCGGAGCGGAGCAGCGAATATCCCAGAGCTATGGAGAACTCTTTCACCAGAAAAGGTGAGAAGATGTACAAAGTACAAGGGCTTATTTCCTTATGCTAATGCTTTACAGAAAGAAAGCAGAGAAAAAAATACCTAGCATATACTGGATTTTGCCTTTTGCGAAAGTGAGGTCCACTTCAAAGTCAAATGTGTCAGTGTGCAGAAGCGTGAGTGTATGCATGCAGAGGACCTCTCCCCAGCAGGGTCTGGGCTTTGTGTGGTACAGAACAGCGCTCAGCCTGCCTACACAACCAGGCAGTGTTGCGTTTCTGCTCTGCACCTCTGCAGGTGCTTTACTTAATCAGGATTGATGTAGCTCTCTGCTATATGTCAAGGAATTCTCCTACAACCACCAAATACCCCCAGAATTAATCTTCTTTCTGTGTTGATTTCCCAATGGGTAAACCCTAGAAGAATTTCAGTATAAATCTGTTGGTTACATTTCTTTATTGCAATAGCATAAGCAAAAAAATAGTGTCAGAGTTCACAAGCAGCCTTGCAATAACCTAATGTGACCAAATAATGTGATTCAATCCCACTGAAAATTTATGAATGTGACTGAAAAGTTAGTCTTCAATATGAACAATGTGATATGTATAAGAAAATTACCTGTACTTAACCCAAAGTAGTTTTTTATATTTGCAAGGTTTGTTTAAGATATGTTATCTATTTCACAAGTAGCCTTAGAAATAACCCAGCCATCCCTTTTCTTGGACTGTGATATAAATTATGGAGAAAAGTATTCCCATTGTAAAGAAGTTTAATCAAATACAGAAGAAATAAAAAATAACCTTTATTATAAAGTCTTACACCACCTCAATCATTAATCTGTGTGCCAGCTTTAATAACAAGCTATTGTAGTAGTAAGACACTGTATTGGGAGTTGCATTACCTAATTCAGTTTTAAGTGGATAAGGCTCCCTTATCCCACAGAAAATCACAAAACAGAAGGAAAGAAAAGAGAAAACTATGTTTTCCCAGTTACAAATGAGTTGGCAAAATGGCTCCTTCTGGTGGTACTCTGCTTGTTTCAAGGAGGAGTATTTTATGCTGCCTGGTTAGGGTCCAATCCCCCAGCAAGACACTAATTCTATAGCAGCAGTAGTAGTATGTACTTTCTAGGTCATCTGTATGCTGTTGGAAGATGTAGCTATACAAGCAGGTCCTGTTAAATATAGAACTGTGTTGCATCCTTCTCTTCAGTGGACTGTTGCTCAGATGCTTGAATGATGACTGGGTAACCTGGATAGAATTACACCTTGACTGGTGCTGTTTAAACTTTCTATCTGGAATCAGGTGCTTTTTTCATTATTGGCCATAAGAAGAAGAAGCATGTGGGAACAGTGCCTCTATGTTGCAATTCGAGGCCAGGTTTGCTGGGGCCCTGGGCAGCCTGATGTGATGGTTGGCAGCCCTGCCCATGGCAGAGGATTGGAACTAGATGATCCTTAAGATCCTTTCCAACCTAAGCCATTCTATGATTCTATGATACACTGCAGAAGTGTATGAGGCATGGTTCTGTGGTGTTGGCAAACACCCAGAACATAAGCGACTGCTTCCAGCCTCTTTCAAACCAAGCTCTTTCCCATTGCTGTGAGATGACCCCAGCCACCAGCTAAACACCCACACAGAAACTCACTCCCTCCTGCAGCTGGATGCGGGAGGAACAAAAGCAAAAATCTCGTGTCTGAACACAGCACTTAGTAAGTGAATGAAAGAGGGAGTAAAAAAGGAAGTAAAGACAACTTCATCTCTTCCCTGGCCCGGAGGAAGGTTCGCCTTTCTCCCCCTTGCCCTAGTGAAGTCACATCTGGAGTACTGTGTATCTGGGCTCCTCGGTTCTCCTAGAGAGAGCCTGGTGGAGGGCGACAAGGATGACGAGGGGCCTGGAGCATCTCCTATATGAGGAAAGGCTGAGTAACCTGGATCTCTTCAGCTTGGAGAAGAGGTTGAGAGGGGATCTTATCAATGCTTATAAGTATCTGATGGGCATGAGTCAAGAGGCCCAGGCCAGGCTCTTTTTTGTGGTGCCCAGCAACAGGACAAGGGGCAACAACTAGAACATAGGAAGTTCCATATGAGCATGAGAAAATAATTCTTTGCTATGGGGGTGACAGAGCACTAGAACAGGCTGCCCAGAGAGGTTGTGAAGTCTCCTTCTCTGAAGATACTCAAAGCCTGCCTGGACATTTGGAATCATGCTGTAGGGAATCTGTTCTAGCAAAGAGTTGAACTTGATGATCTTTAAAGATCCCTTTCATCCCCTACAAATCAGTGATTTCTGCAAGGAGGAGCAACCAAACTCTAAGCAATGGCTACCCTGGAAGACACTGTGGATCTAATTGCTGAATACGATATTATAAAGTATGGAACATCTCTTTGGCCGTTTCTCCATGAGAGCTGATGCTCAGAAGAGGAGCACCAAGAATTGTCCTGCGCCTCCATCCTGTGGCTGTTGCTCTTCCCTGGGGCTCAGACCCCATGCCAGCTGTTGCACATGGACAGCCCCACCCATCAAAAGCTGCCTTTAGATACAGGAGGTGAAAGCATCCCAGACATTAAAGACATAAAAGAAAGAAACTATGTGTGAAGACATTTGCCCTTTGACATTATGATGCCAGCATGCTTTCCTAATTTATGCAAAGTTAGTTCATATTCAATTTATTTCAACCTTGTAAGCTGAGACAATGCTTTTATAATCATCTCAGCATTGTTAAAACAATTAGTGTCCCAAGTCCATGGAGCATAGACATACACGCTGACATACACGTGGTAATATTACTAAGCCAGAAGGAGGATGCTTAGAAAAATGCACACTCATGCTGGTATAGCCTGAATGATTTTCAATACCTTGCTATAAAAGAATACAAATAAAGTCTTGACGTTTGCAGCCTTTATCAACCACCAGATCCATCCTTTAGGGATGGAAATTGTGTAACAAAATAGTTTACTTGAAAAAGTAAACTAGTAAAGTAAAATAGGAACTACTTTTTCTCTCTTTAGTTAGCAGGTTGTTTCTGAAGAAGAGCCTTGATCTGTAAAAATATGTCAGTCTGAACTGTGCAAAGGCCAATATATATATTTGAAAGCTAATATTTTCTATTTCCTTTTTGTTCAGCTTCCTGTATAATGAGCCCAAGTTGTTTATTCTTCTGAATGATGCAATGGGTTAACGGATAGTATGTGGGTTATCAGTAAGGAAATCTGAAGGTACAAGGACCATAACAGTACCTTATGTTTCACTTTGATTAAACTGGTGGAATTCCGTGTAAATGGAAAATTGTGAGGGCGTATTGCCTTCATTTTATCAAGAGGATACAGTAGGAAGTAACTTAAAACACAAAGTATCTATTATCTCTTACTTCTAATTAATGAAATGCCCTGAAGTCTTTCAACTTAAAACCCATGCACTCTTACACAAGATAAATCAGTCCTTCCTGCAAAGGCTGAGATTTAAGGAGACGTGAGTGCTTAGGGGAAAGATGTGGTCCATGTATATTCAAGAACCAATATAAGTCATCACGAGGTGACCATTCTCAAATTTAACTTGCACAAGTAGCTGAGTTTTCTTCTCAAGTCTCCTTTGTATGGCAATCAGACTTCTACTTTTTACGTACTTTAGAAACCTAAGTAGATTTAGAGTATTTAAAATGAAATCGTTTTTTGAAGCATCTTTTTTTTTTTTTTTTGTCCCTATTTTTGCTTCTTAGAGTGCTTGCAGAGAAAGCCCAGTTGCATTTAAGAAATAACACTGATGCACAGCGAAGTTGCCCTCCGGCCTGAGAGCTTCAGCATGAGAATGGCAGAGCTCTCCCCACGGGGACCACACTAGGCCAGGCACCGCACAAGCCCTTGGTGCAATTTGCTCTGCTCCTCTCCAAGTAAGCCCTGAGAACTACTTCAGTATCTCTGCAAAGGAGAGGCAGACAGGCATCACAGCACTATGACCAGTCTGGTACTTGCATTCTCTGTCCTCTAACTTGATGTTCTGTATTATGCACAGGTATTAGGAACATGATTTTTTCAAAAAAATAGATGATGTTGTGTGTGGATAGCAAGAAAGACTGTCTTTGAGGTGAGTCTCCTATACATTGCTCAGTGTTGGTTTTTGGTTTTTTTTGTTTTTTGTTTTTTTGCTTAACTGCTGTTGCTTGAAGATGAACAAAAATGTTTATTAAAAAAAGGCAGGAAGAAAATGCAGTTGGTTTACCCCACCTTAGCATGTTGGTGTTTTGAAACCAGGGTGGAGCGGTTTATATTTTGATAGACCATTATCTAGAAGGAAAGCAAATAACCTCTTCCCTTCAAGCACCAAAGATCTAAATAGTGCTCGATCTGCTCACTAATGGTACTGTTGTTTGTATGCTGCATGACTGTGTGTGAGAACAGCTGGGAGAGCTAGCAAAGCAAACAGAGCTAACAACACTATGGACTTCAGATGCTTCATTTGACTCAGTATGGAGAACAGCAGCAGCACAAATACCATTGTTCACCTGCATTATTTTATTCCATACATTGTGTATTGCTGAGCAGATCAATAAGTAATCCTAGTAGATCACACAGATGGGAATAAATGAGCAGTCAGATGTTTAAAAATAATGAAGTGTGAGTAGCGGGTAAGTCTTGTGCAAACTATTTATACTGATTGGTGGTTTATGCCATAGCACCTTATGGAGCCATTCAGTTACGTAGGCTGAGCCTTTGTGCCAGTCTTCTCTTCCCTGAGCTCTCAGAGGGGAAATGACTTATTTTTTATTCCAGGAAATTGGAGTGAAAAAATTTACAGAAGAGCTCCAGCATTAGTAGTAAAACAGGCAATCTTTTCCATGATTGAAGACTAGACCTAGATGAAGTGAACTTCTTCTAGAATGTAGGAAAGGAGAAGAGTAGCCCTCAGCTTCCTTTTCAGAAGCCTGACTGATGAAGGGGCTAGCTAAACTTTTCATGTACAGCACAGGAACAAGAAACAGGATTTGAAGTATCTGAGGAACAGCAATCCTATGGGTAGCACTGTACTGGAAAAGATGGGTGAAACTGACCTGTTCTAGCTTCCCTGCCAGAATGGAAACAGTCTTGTGCCAGGTTCCCAACAGCTGGCTTGTAGTAGTGTAGACATCACAACAGTGCAAGAATAGCAGCCCAGATCCACCACTGGCTAAATTACCCTAGGGTACCTAGTTGGAGAGTTGACCAATGCCCTCACGTATATGATTTGATTTTTGGGTGGTTCTGTGTGAAGCCAAGAGTTGGACTCAGTGATGCTTGTGAGTACATTCCAGCTTAGAATGTTTTACAGTTCTACAACCACTGTAGGATTTTTGCCTGAGTGCACTACATACACATCATCAGGAGGTTGTAGATTGACAGGTTTGATGACTGAATGACATCATAGCTACTCTACGAACTCCTCCTCTTGTTAAGGTTGTTGCTCATGTGTGGGTTGAAAAGGGGAAACCCTAAGTCCCACACAAAGACTTCTTGTTGCTGTGCCTGTTTAGGAAAAGGATACATTACTGAAAATATTTGGGATATGCCTTAGGACAGGATTGGAGGAACCTTGAGCTGTTGCTTCTTCTTCCCTGCATCCATACTTGATATGTTTTTACATTTATTCACAGCTAATGTCAAGAACAGGCAATCAAAAGTGAGAAGCAGGGGTTGCAGCCATACACGAGATGCAGGAATGTATAACAGTGGGCCAGTGCTAACAGATGAAAGGAAGGCTGTCATGTACCTCTCCCACAGCCCTACTCCACAAGGCCTGCACACAGGTATGAACTGGTTCGCATTATAAATGGCTAAAGAGAAAGAAAGGAACTATGGGTTGCATTTAAGGAGACTGTTCTGATAGGAGGAAGAGATATCTTTATCTCTTTTTAAACTGTGCCCCTGCTCTTCTCTCCCCACATATTTTTTTTCTCACTCCCATTCCTCAGTATCTTTCTATTCTTGCCTGTGTGTGAAAGACTTGTATCCTGCTTGCTTTTTTGCTATTTCACCATTACACAGGCAGCATTGGGGCACTCTGGCAGCTTTCCCCCACCCTCCAAGTAGTAAATGTCCTCTGGTTAATGTGAGAGGTGGCTGTTTGCTGAGGAGCCGTATGGTTGAGATACATCTCCCATGATTGCAAAGATGGTCTTGCCCATGCTGAATCTCATCAGGTGAGGTAAGAACAACATCCAGTGCCCTGTGATTGGTATAGAACACCTTATTGCACAGGTCACCTCAAACTTCTGTTCAAAAAGGTGAAGATATGGTTACAGTAGGTGTCTTGTAGATAAGAAGGTGACACTTATCTTGTAGATAAGTAAGTGACTTCAGAGCCTAGAGTGTACCTCCTGCTGCAAGACACAAGACCTGCAGGTTCTCAGCTTTAGGCATTAGTCACAACTAGCGATAGCTCTGTGGTCATGCTGGCTGTCTGAGTAAGAGAGATGATGGTTTATTTCAGCTTCCTTGTTAGGAATCTCAAAACCAGGCTTCCCCATCTGTGAAAAAGGTCCTCTCTCAAACCTGGCTTATCCCTCTGATTCCTTGTTATTTTAGCTTTCAGCCTATGCTCACTTCACTTTGGCCCTGGGAGCATGTTGGCGTGTGGTGCTCCCGTGGTGTTAGGTGCTGCATCAGTGGTATCGGTGCATCCTCCTCCACCGCTTCCTTCCCCTCGCCCCAGCTCTGGCTGGCCCAGTGCATCTGCAGCATCACCATCACTGGCTGCAACGAAACGTGTTGCTGCCTCACCAGCCCTCCTGAGGAAGTCACTTTTCTGCTGGCTGAGGAAAAGCTTCCACATGCCTCACAGTTTCAAAGCCCACATTGCTGTTTTTCAAGGCCAAGTTTGCTGGGGCCCTGGGCAGTCTGATCCAGTGGGTGGCAACCAGCCCATGGCGGGGGTTGGAGCTTGATGATCTTTGGTCCCCTTCAGCCCAAACTGTTCTGTGATTCTGTAATTCTATGATTTACACCTAATACTGACTGACTGTGCTCTGCCTTCAGGATACTGTTTTAAAAAGATGAATTTTCTTTGCCTTGAGAAGGATTTGTTCATCCAACTCTGCCTCCCCAATTTTCCACTTATTCCTAAATCTCAAAGAGAAAATGTTTCTTCTTTCCCACAGACTTGGTTTTCTCTTCTGCTGGGACTGATTTAATAGTAAGTGGGCTATTATGCTGCACTTCCAAGATTGCTCAAAAGACATTGCAGAAAACAGCTGTAATGAAACAGAAAATGAATTCAGAGTAGAACGAATCACCCTTTTTTCAACCTCCAGTTAGAAAAAGAAAAAAAAAGAGATGATTCACTATAGAAAGTCCAGATGAAGTTTCTCCAATTCAGTTCTTGTTTACTGTCTGTGTGGCAATGCTGTACTTGTCATTCTGGCAATGTGGTATCGCTTTACTTGAAAATGGCCTGGTGGCTTTGTTGATTCATTCAGGAAGATGACTTTATTTTGTTGGTAAATTAAAAGTCTGTCACTGCTTATTATAAGCTTATAATAAGCTTAGTTATTGCTTATATAATCAAGAATGTGGAGCATACTTTATATTTGAAACCACAGAGTATTTTGGAAAATGTAAGTAAAGGTATAATAAGTTATGACAGGCAATACAATAAAGATGCAGCACAATTAAAGACAGCACTTGTAAATCTGTGTGAAAACATGTAGTGTTCATATCAGCATTCTGTCAACTGTTATATTCTCACACTGTCCTCCAACAGGAGTGCCCCAAAAGACCGCTGTGGTGGAAGTTGAGCTGTGTGCATTAGCTACACAGAAACCCAGCAGCCATTTTGGGGGCCGAGGGGCACTGCTCAGAGAGGGGAAGGGAAGTTCTTGGATTTAAGCATGGGATTTAAACAGAAGTTTTAAGTGCATTTCCCTAACAGGATTTCTTCAAAATTATTCCGAAAAAGACTGAATTAACCAAGCACAGAAGTCGCTGAGAAGCAGCCCATACTCCTCTGGAGCTCCATGGCAGCCCCCACAGCATGTTTCCTGTCAGCCCCTAGCTCTGCAGGTCAGTATGGCATTGGGTCACTTCAGGAAGAGGTGTGATGGAAAAGGTGGCAAAAGTTAGCGATGTGAATACTTGCCATGAATAAAGATGTGATGATTTCGGTAGTGCTGATGAGAGTGCTGTGAGTTGGAGGAAAAAGGCTACATGAAGTCAAACGGCCCGGCTCTTTGAATTTTTGTTGCGGGCTGTGTGGAGCAGAAATCAAAACTGCTGTATAGTGAAAGCTTTTCATGAATGACTTTTGATTAATTCTTGTGAAGCTGGTGGGAGGTGGTGATATGAAGTCGAATCACATTGGCATGGACAGAAGTACCACTGCTGACAAGTCACATTTTCTCAGTTGCCAGAGACACAGTGGCAGCAGTGATGTACAAACAGATCTGCTGTGTACATACGAAGCACAGGCATTGGCAGCTTCCCCAGACAGACTCTGCAAGGGTTGCCAAACAATCAAACTGCGTCCTAATCTAATTTTCACAGTTTACACACTTAGTTAGATTTAATTTTGATGTACCTATCAACCAGGTTTAGTGTAAGGCAGTGAAAGCGATAGATACTATTTGTGACACAAAAGAGTAAACAATGGTCAAAGGCAAACTTGTCTACCAAAGGAGTGTTCAGGCACCAGAGAGTTTTCAACCAATGGATAATTCCCAGATATTGAAAAAGTTGTTGTCAGATATCAAAAATTCTCATTGAAGATTTAAATATGATATCCAACTACTGTGAATGTTTTTTTCCTGGAAACTTTGTCAATAGCTTGGGTGTTATTTCAAGAGTTGGAAATGGCAGTAAGAGGGGCTTTTACTTGCTATCATAGAAGCTCAAGTTTTGCTAAATAGACTAGGACTCAGATATTTCATGCTGTTCTCAGCTGAATTCTATAGAATCATAGAAATATTGAGGTTGGAAAAGACCTCATTCAGTCCAACCGTCCACCTACCCCCAATATTGCCCACTAACCCATGTCCCAGTGCCACATCTACATACAGAGCTACTAAATGTTCATGAATGTGAAGCCAATTTAAATTTACTTTTCTATGAATATAAGGCATTAATAACCTGAAATAAAAAATTTTATAGTTACAAAGTAAAAGCAATGGCCGCACTCATAGTGCAGTTTGGAGAGATTCCTTGTTCTATGGCATAACCAAATGAATCCCTTTGGTTTTGAGCATACAATCTGGCTTAGAGTAAAAGCTTTGATTTGGGGCTTATTATTACCATTAAAAAGTTTGGAATATTTCAATTTGAAAGGTGATCTTTGTGGTTTGCCATGCAGTTGTTGCTCCTGTTACATGGAGTTTTACTTCAGTATTTGTTCTTACGGATCTGCTCTTTGCTCCAAATCGTGCCTATTACTAAGTTGCCTGCTGTACCAATGATGAGGATTTCTTTGATTAGTTTTGATACTCAGTATTTCGGCAGCTATACAAGGAATCAGAATCATTTGTATATGTTTTCTATAAACATGAATAAAAATGAAAGGAATGGCAGAAGTTTTAGGACAGACTGATGCCAACCATTTGTCCCAAGGAATGGTCCAAACAGTCGGATGCATTTATAATAGCAAAAAGCTGTTGAAGAAAAATGTGTTAATCCGTACAGTTGTGGAGGAACATTGAAACATAGCCCATCTTACCAAGTTTCACAATGAATAGTAAGTGGGAACTGAAAAAACCAAACTGTTGGCTGAACATTGTTACCGTAAATGAAAAGGGAAAGAAACACTGTAGGTGGGGATAGTAGTTCTGAGCCATTCCTTTGGTGTCTTATATGTAACTGTTCCAAAAAAAAACCCTCAATAGGACTTCACCGTCAGAAATCTCCCATTCTGCAGACTGCCTGTCTATTCTTTTCTTATTGGCCACATGCAACCCCCGAGCACCTCTGACGACAGAAAAAAAAAAAAAAAAAAAAAAAAGAATATCATTTGACGTATTTCACATTTCCACTTCTGTTCAGCGATTATTTTTCCTTATGTCTGTGGTTGTTTAACTTTGTTCCAGTCAGGCGAGAACAGAGAGAGAAGAGTAGAAACAAGCCTATGTATTTTCCCTCCTTGTGTCAAGACACGGCACAGCTGCTATCTGTACGGCCACAGATGGACTCAAGCACCTTGAACATAAACTGGTATTCAAAAGAAAATAATATTTTGATTATGGCTTAGTGATATATATATATGTATTTTAGCCAAAGATCATTATTTTACTGACTAGCTCATGAAAATAGGGACTATTCTATTTTCTCCGAGTAAAGGCTTTTGAACTATGGAGGAGCTGATAGGAAAGCACCATTCTGGCATCAAACTCCAAAAGCTATGCTGCAACCAGTGATCAGCCCTACATTTTGCAGAATCTTCCCTTGCATGAGGTACATTGTGCATGTTTAGGCCTTCCTGCTTGCCAGCTGTTCAGCTGCAACCGAATTTCAGTCTCAGAGGAGCAGGGCGCAAAGAGGCTTGTTTTGGGATAAAAGCTTGAGCTGCTGTTTCCAGCCTGCAAGCTGTCTCTGTTGCACTGGCAGCTATCAGTTAGGTGACTCAGTCCTCAGGAGTCACAGTTAGTCAGAAAACAGCAAAGTTGGTGGTACAGACAATGGCGTGGCCACTGCTCCATCCTATTTTGCGATCAGTGTTTAAATGGACCATTGCAGCTTTCCTTTCCCTGTCGAAACACACAGACCCGCCTGCCCAACTGCTGAATCCCCCCATATGATGATACTATGTGGGCCAATGCTTTTGACAGAAAGTCTTGGAAAGAGCACATGAAAATTGTCCCTCTGTGCAGATGCCTAAATAAAGTGCACGTCTTCAGAGGCACTGTTCTGAAAACCCCAAGCTTTATCTTTGGTGACATTTTGCTAAGATCTGTTATCTGTGTGATGCTATGAGTGACCTAGAAAGAGATGAGCAGAATTCTTGTTTTTAGAAATGGAAAATGTTGCTCTTTTTGGAGTACTCCGCCACACAGAAATATTTGGGCACAGGCGGTGTGGCCTTTTGCCTTTTCTTTGCTATCACTTCCTAAGATGCTTTTTCTAAGCCCAGCAGAACTGCCCAGTGCCAATGGGTAAGCTGCAGAAGCATCTGGACATGATTCAGGACGTTTCCACTCGCAGTGTCACTGGCCCGAGGCACACAAGTATGCAGAGGGGCAGCAGAGCAAGGGGTATTTGTGACACACCATGTCATTTCTGGTGACTGCTGCAGGCCATGTACTGAGGAGTTTGGATTGAGCTTACCTATTGATTTCTCAGTCATTTCTTTCAGTGTCTCCGCTGTCAAGGAATCAGCTCTCTGGTTGTATTTTCAATTCATTCAGAAAATCCAAGACAGATTTCCCCATGTCAGCTGCAGCAGGGTGCAGAGGCTTGGGGTAGGGCTCATGCTCAATGCTGGGGAGCAGCATGCAGGTCCTGGGTGCTTAGTATAGCCAGGGACGTTGTGTGGGCAGCTACAGACAGCGGATGGGTTTTGGCTGCACAGTTCTACTGGTTCATGTTGCACAGTCTGCATATTTGTATCAATCAGAAGTCGTGCTGCATTAAAGTGCCGTACAACAATCTGTTGTATCACTGATACAAATGCACCACCCCAAAGACCCTAATTTTGGAGGCTGTCTTGTGGGAAAACCAGAACCGCCTGAAGGATTTCACTTAGCCAACTGCCATTAAGAATTATTCTTTTGTCAGAGGTAAGCCAAGGCCTAAAAAGCAGAAGATACAGCTCTTAACTAGAAGGAGTAGTATTAAAATAACGTGCTCTGAAACTGGACAAGACTCAGTCTGTGAGCTGGAGGATTGGTCAGAGTTGACTAAAGAAGGGATCCTTGATTTGAATTTGTGTCTTTAGATACAATCTTGTCGTTTCCCAGATATTAGCCTTTTCCGATTGAATAATGAAAGAGCAAATGCTTTGCTGAACGGGCATGTGAGAGGCAAAGCACTGCCTAATATTTAATAAGGCAAAGTTACATTAGGAAAAGAAAGGTTTGAAAGATACAGTGAATTATTTTTCCTGTCAGAAATAGAGAAGAATTTCCAGACTGGGAAAAATCTGCCTCTACATGCTAGAAGTTAAATATTTGGAAGCAGTAATTATCAGCACATGATCTTTTTCCTCTCTGTTGGTAATCTACACAAGGGAGAATAAAAATGGATGAACTATATGGGGACCCATCGCTCTTAATCCAGAACACACCAGTCTACACATTATTCAGAAAGATTTGCATTTCAGTCGATTCAGATTGCACCCATAGAAATGCATAGCAGGAATATCAGCTTAAGCAAGGGCTAGAGTCTTCCCAAAGCTAAACAGACACTGTTCTGTAGTCTTACCTTAGTGTGCATTCTCCCTCTCAATTACTCATCCATAAAAACGTAAACGTTGGTACAGAAATGAAGGCTGCGCAAGGGAGAAAAAAAAAAGATTAAACCATTTGTGCATGTCAGTGGTTTGAAGAGAAAAGCTCCTATCTGCAGTGCTGCATTTCTTTGGCGTACAGAGCAAATGGGTCAGCAAAGAGTCTTCCTAAAATAAAAAAAAATCAGCCTAACCACTGGTTCCGCCTGTACATTAATACTTCTGTTGGCTTGTGGGGGCTTCTCTTACTCAGAAGTGAACTGAGACTGACAGTAACGTTTGTTTACCACGTATCTGATCAACCATACACAACCTTTGCCAAAGTAGCTAAGTTGGAAAAGATCAATGCATTCATTAGGGTAGGAACATAACTTTTAAGGATTACTGAAAATGAAAAACAAACATAGGTCATGAGCACACATGCTACTGAAGTTTTGCAGAAACCAGAGGTAGTCTCCAGCTAAAGACCAGATGCGCTTGATTCCTTTCAATTCATGTGTGCAGAACTGGGCTTTGAAATTCCTAAAATTTTCATGAAAAAAAAAGATGTACAGCAGAGGACTCATATAGTCTGATATCATATCATGTGAAGAGGAGTCAAAGACCTCTAACAGTTTTATCAGCTGGAACAAGGTTG